AGCTGGTCTTTTTATAGCAGGGATTGCAGTTATCTGCTGTCAGTGCTTGGGGTGACTGTGACTGTGTCTAGTGACGGCATGTTAATGTCTCTTGGGCTGCCTGACTTCACTGTCCCTTTACAGCAATGACTATGCATTATTCTTGTTTCTTGAGATTATATGCAGCTGTGTACTTTAGTGTGAAGCTCCAGAAATTATTTCTCATATGTACGCTTAAGCGTGTAGGTGCATCATATACAAGTATGTCCAGTTTTGGCATATGTGCGCGCACGTGCGTGTGTGCGCGTACATCCATAGAAGTGTTTTATTTGTGGACGAGAGTGCAGCCATGTGAGTTAATGAATATGTGAGTCAGCTTTCGTTCCCATTCCGGTTGAGCTGGGCAGAAGCTGGGCCCCAGCTTTAGGGCAGAGTCACACTGAAGAAGAAAGACAGAATAAAAATAGAGCCGAGAGAAGCAAAAATTAATAAAAGAGCACAAAGGGGAGATGGGTGAAAGTACGCTGGAGGTAGGGGCAGGATATTCAGTTGACACACAAAGGCTAGAACAACACAACAGTGGCCTGTGTATTATGTAAGAGATGGGTCTCAGCTTGTGTTCTGTCCTTGGGGTATTGTTCAGTTAAAAGGACATCTCCGTGTGCCTACTTTCTGTAATAAGAAGGTCATTACTTTTCAGAAGCACCAGAGGGCCCCACATTTAGAGCTCAAGTAAATGAGGAAGGCCTAACTCAATTTCCTGAAACAGATCATAAGCTGCATATAGTAGCTTGTTTTTATCGCACCTGATCTACAGAGAAGTTTGGGAAACCTGTTGTCATATCAGATTCCCAGATTAATGCATGATACTGATGAATTATAATTATACTACTGAATTTTCTCTCATATAGGTACATTCATAGATTTTAATCCGATACAGTACAGAAGCTTTGGCACACTTGTATAGTTAGTAGTTTATACCATAATTGTATACATAGACCTAATTCACCTGTGATTTTATTTAATTTTGCAGGTTTTGTCCAGATGGTTATAAATCAAAACTAATCTTACAGCAGGAAATGATTAACCACAGTATAAAAAAATATGTCATTTGAATATAGACATTTCAAGTACACATATACTATTAAGAATATTTTAAAAAATGTGCGTAGCAGTGCTGTGAAAAGTCTCAAGCCACCCCTCATTTCATTATATTTTGTTAGGAAAATGATTGGAGTGATTTACAGAAATGAGCAAATGTGGAAATTTAGTATATAAGACAAAAACAGGGCTAGTATAATTCTAACTGAACTCGCTGTCATTTCTTTAAGTAGTCTTCAGGACTAGTTCTGCAACATTTTGTGTACCATGCAGGTTTTTCCACTTTGGAAAAACAACTGCCTGGAGGGACAATAAATCTTTTGTCCAGTATAATGACCATTTTCCCGAAGCCTTCGTTACTCACTATGTTTAATGGACACACATTTTTGGCCAAAGGAACGTGACTGTGTTGAAGATTTCAGTGCATCTTTGTGAGGTGGATGGAAACATCGTCGTATCGTACTGGCACACTTTTATGTTTGTCTGAGTTGATGCTGGACGATTCACGTTAGCAAACACTGCACTGTTTTACTTAGAGACAAGCTCTTCAGCGTCTGCTTTGCAGGACATTTGAGCTTTGGTGTATATTTGTCTTTTCCCCCTCATTCTTAAGGAAATGACTTTCAGATATCATCAGCTATAAATATGTTTGGAAATCTTTGGAAATTTTATGCCAGTGGCATTTTTTGCAGATTTGGTGAGAGAAAATTTGCAACAAATGATGTGTTTTTGTAGCAGATTGTTAGTAACAAATTGAAGAAACTTTTTTTCCCTGTTTGCTAGGTTTTCTGTTATTTGTAGACACAACACTGGTTCATTCCAGTTGAGTTTTCTGTGCTTTAATGATTCACAGGTCAGTGTTAAGTGGTTTAACAACTACAAAACATTCCTCTGAAAATATTCAGGTACAAAACAAAAGCGAAAACCAAAAAAGGTGAAAAAGCAGCTAATGTCCAAAGAAAAACTTTGAAATACTCTGTCTGAAGAACTATTTTTATTTGAGCTCTGATTCTGTTTCTCCTCTTTGTGAGCTCAAAAGTGGTCTCTGTGTGCTTTACCTCCACATTTTCTGTCTCCCACTAAAAGTGATGGATGTTATTATTTCTGATTAGTAACAGGCAGTATTATATAACAGTATCTGACAGACTAGCTAAACTGGATCAAATTTAAAGAGAACTGTGTTGATTTACTAGATGTGGTGTAATCTAATGCTGTTGGATGCAGCTGTGATGGACAGGATAGCAGTCCCCACATGGAAGTCTGTTTTGGGGGCCCAGAGATGGGGAGATTATTCTTTAGAGCCTAGACAATCTTATGGGTGAAGGGAAGCCACAGAGAGAAAGACTTTGAGCAGCAGTGTTTTAGATCTTAAGCTTTTCTAACTCATGAGTGTGTGGATGGACGTTAGCATATGAAGGTGTTGGCTGTTCTTAAAGAAAGAGGCTTATTTTGTGGAGAAAATTAATACTTTCTACCATCTGATGGGATCTATGCTTGGCTTGCTGCGATTAAGGTTTAATCCCTTATAAATTGGGAGGAAGAAACAGGTTGTCTGCTTCAGGGTTATATTTCAGCACCCCTACCAGTATCAATTCAAATGACTAAGTGGAACGTATTCACCACATTCCTGTACAAAGGTGGTATAGAAATATGACCCACAGTATTTATGGGTGTGGGGTAGCAGGAGCTTTATGTGTGGTTTACTGTTTGCCATTAAAGGCAAGTTAAATTAGTGAGGTTTAAATACAACCCTCCTCTGATTGTATTTAATGCCCACTCAAAATCTCTCATATGATTTAATGGCTTCCAGCTCCATATACATGTAATCTACATGGTTTGCTTGTTTTAAAGGAACAGATGTTGTGGGTGTAAGCATAGTCATGCAATTTGGGTCATTTCTTTCTCCGTCAAGGGAAATTATAATTATTTAACTGAAAATGAGAACATGTTTTTTCAGAGTGGTTCTCGTCTTTGTGAGGAAAATCAGTAATGTGATACTTGTATAAAAGCAAACGTAGAGGTATGTCTTAAGCAAATAAAATCTTCATGTTTAGACAATTCAGGTGAAGATGACAACCACGACCACACCTGGCAAGTCTTCTGTGTCAGCTGCTATTAAATGCTTGTGAATGCTGTGGGTTAATGTCTAATGGGGAGAACCGTTGAAAAGACACTTCTTGTTGGGGCATGCCTTTAAAAAAGAAGAAGAAGAAACTTTCAGTTTAAACTCAACATGATTATGTGAGAAACCGACCTCTTATGAACACCCCTGAGGTCCCGCCCGTTCAAAGTTCAGACGAGAGAAAGCGAAAGCATCTAGGCATTTTTTTTTATTAGTTGACATACGCAACATCACAATGATAGAAATACATCTTTGCTAACAGGAATACCACAGCCTCCATATGAGCCAGAAAAATACTGCATGAAAGTAGCAAGAAACATGAAAAACTCATATGTCATGTTGAAAGAAAAATATGAATACAAATGTACCTGAATTTCAATTTGAATTTCTTTTTAAATAATCAACAATAAGTAAACTCCTTATAATACCTGTAATGACATAAAATTGGTATGAAAATATTTTAGAGAAAACTGTTTTTTAAAAAACGTATTTTTTTATGTGCCACCCCAGAATTTGATCGCACCCCTGCTGTGTAACCAAGGGTGGAAATTATAGCATGGCCAAAGAGGTTCATTATGTAAATATGCGATTATGTAATGATGAATAATTATTACATGCAGTTAAAGTGACAAACTGGCAAATTTTGCGGGGTGTACCCTGCCTGCCTTCCATGACAGCTGGGATAAGCTCCAGAGATGGACTCCCACTCATATACTTTGCAGTGGTTTGGTCCACTATAATTCCCTAATTCCTTACTTTGAAAGCTGTAAACAAAGAATGTGTAAGACACTGTTATTTACTTTTACTTCTAGTAGTAAAATGACACACATTTACTCTTGTAACCACACTATATTTTATTAGCTCCATTACAGGGTAGCTGTGTCTCCTAATGCGTTTTTATGGAGGCAGGTGGTCTGTGCACATTAAAATCAAATTTTCAGCCAGTTTCCAACTGCTTTTGTTTGCTTTTTATATTTTTTCAAGTTTTATTTGTTATTTTTAATTCCCGACCTGTTTGTTTGGACTCCCTAGTGCCACCTGATTGTAAAAAATTCTGGAAACACCCCTGGGTCCCCATGTCTGGTAGGAAGTGAAGTAAATAATAGAGAAGGTGACAGACCCAATAAGAATATATTATATTGGCCACAAGTTATAATAAACGTGTGAATTTAATCCCTTACTTACATCGGCAACACTCAATTCAGGCTATATAGTACTCGTGAGACGCAAAAAATACCTGCTGTACTTATATTCTAATCAGGCTGACACCCATTGCCTAATCTTCTATATTTGGTTGGTGCTTTAAAGTATGCAGGGTTAGGTTACTCATTCCCTACCTGGATTAGATATAATCCAGGTAGTGTACAATAATGTGATAACAATGCAGAAATGTGTGTGCGCCACCTGTCCAACCCTTACGTGTCTCCTGCTTGCTCAGTAATAATGTAATGGCATTAGGAACAATCCTCTGAGCTGCACAGGATATTTTAGGACTCAGATGTACTGTCCAGACAATATAGCGAAAGTGACAAATACACAGGTGATTGGGAATGAGACCTGCTCCTAAGCAGGATTAATGTCTGCAGTAAACTTGTCAACTTATGTCTGTGTTTGGTCTCAGTCACCGCAAAGCTGCAGCCTCAACAGCATGTCCAAACTAGAAAATGTTTTGTTTGTGCAAGAGACAATCGTGCACGCTGGAAAAGGTCACAGCATGGCAAAGTGGTGCTGTGTTTCTTTAAAATGCATTCCTTACACCAAAATAATATATCTGTCTGTTAGATCATGAAATGCCATTAGAACGGGCTGCTGTGAAGGGCTGTAGGGTCTGTATGTTATGTATAGGCACAAGAGAGAGAGACAATCAGGCGAGGGGTGGGTGAAGGAAAGGCACTGAGCCAGGGTGCAGCACGAGGAAACTGTATCAGCTTGGCTCAGGCTGGCTTCCTCCCCTCTACAAAAGCCCGGTTGGAGGGCAGTGAAGAGGAGCTGGAGGCTAGAGTTTCAAGCACCGAACTGACAGTCCGTACTGCACAGAGAAATGTCAGGTGTAGCCTCACCTGTCCACGCAAATATGAATTTGTTTCCACTCCTCTTCCCGGCCACTTTATCGGCTAGGTTTAACGCATAACAGCCAATTTTCAGCTATAATCCAAGGAAAAACCCCAGAACCTGGATACTACAGCAAGCTGTGTGATGATGTCAGTGGCAGTGTCGTCATATTTCCACTGGGCATCGTCTAAACACGCTGCTTTGTAAAGGTAGACGGGGTGACAAGGAGCTCAGGTTCAGCTGCGCGTCCTATTGCTATTGCGTAACAGGCGTGCCAAGCGGAAGGTTGGCAGGTAGGCAGTCGTGTTTATCCGCTTTTGAGAGAGGAAAAAATGAGAGGGAGGGAGCGATCTGGAGAGAGATGGAGCAGTCGGAGGGGGCGTACATCTCCTCAGTCGCTCGTGGCTAGAAAGCTGGCAACGATACAACGCTGCTGAAAGGCAACCTCTCTTTGTGCCCATAGAGGAGCGGTTTGAACCTCCACCGCCGGCGGTTGTTATCCTGCGTGCGAGGTAAACCCGGACGACACCTTTGCTTTCACTTCAGGATGTCCTAGTCCTGATAGCCCTGCCGCAGCGGACGCCATCGACTCGGAGCCTCGCAGACCCGCAGGTATGTTTGTTTGTTGCTTGTAACGGACAAACCCTCACGGTAACAGTTATTGGTTGACTGCTATGCGGCTAGACGTCTTTGCGCAGTGATATGCGTGACGCTGTCTCTACCGGTGCCGCGATGTCAGCCGTTGGCTCGGGTTTACAGGCGAGCATACGCTGCACGTTAATCTTTGCCCTCTACCTGTACCTGGTTTCCTCTGCGGTACTGAACTTTATGTGCGAAGTTAGAGGGAGTACTGCCTTATCACCCCCATCTCACATCGTGTAAGAAAAAGCGGCAGTTTGGGTGAATTTTGCCAATTAAAGCCATTCGCGACCGCGTGTCCCCGCAGTCAGGACGGCAACGTGACGTCGTTACTACTGCTCATCATAACCAACAACATGAAATATATACAGCTGGTCTTAAATCACCCCTATCAAGTAATAATAATAATAATAATAATAATTGGGACGTAAAAGGAAATTGTTTAGGCTCAATAGGCAGTAAGCATGCAAAAAGGCTGTTTTCTTTGGTGACACAGCAACAAGTGGAGTGCGCCCTGTTATCTCTTTATTTGTCCCTTGCTGCCAGGTGCTCGACATGTGTTTTTAAGTGTGTTTACACAGGATAGCAGGCTCGTCCAACAAAGCCATATGCGCAAAAGCGCTGCGGCCCTAGTTTAGATGGTCTGGATTCACACCCATGCCTCATCGGGATTTAAGTGGAAGGTGAGGAGGAAGAAGTGGAGTGCGTCTTTCAATGAGCTGCTCCAGAGTGCTGGTGGATGTAGTCGAGCAGAAAGAAATGCAACAGAACTAATTTTCAAAAAGGAACCAACACACAGAGGGGGAAAAAAGGCCTATCCTTTTCCAAAGAAGCTCCATAAAGACAATAAAGCCCATAAAAGGTGCGCTATAACTACAAGTAGTCACTCATATTCGACCAGAGAACTTTAAACAAGCAGGACAGTTAAAACATCCCATAATTATACAGCCCTGAACTGTCAGCCTTTTAGAAAATAAGGCATAGCTTAAGATATTAATGAAGCATTCATCCCAGAAGATGATCTGCCCACATCTCTTATTTGGGTCTTTATTATCTGTGGGAAGATAAAAGATGCAATAAATGTTTTGTAACTATAAATCAAAAATGTCCATGCAGATGATAGCTGCTTACATTATTTTGCACACAGCCTGCTTGCAAAACTCAGTAATTTGCCACGCAACACAGTTTTATTGCATGCATGTAACAATGTGAGTGTCTGGGGTTTAAGTAAAGCCGCGGTTCAGTAAAAGGCCAAGAGTTTATGACTTGCGATGCCTGCAGTTGATTTTCCTGAAAGTGTTTTGCGGCTTGACACGGTTTGGCAGTGATCTTAGTCTGTCATCAGACTCGCTATCTTTCAGGGCGTGTTTAGTGTTTAACGTGTGAGTGCTAATTTGAAATTAAGGTTCCTCCCAAGTTGTGAATATTTGTCCAATCTGGTTGACTTTTTCACCATTATCACCTCTCAAATATTAATATTGGCAATCTGTGTTTTATTTTTGTGTATCTAGATGTGTCTCTTTGTATGTGTGGAGTGCGGTTTGGGGCCTTAGCCTTTATGCCTGACCTTCAGCCTTTGATCTGTGGCTCGTGTGAAGGCGTAACATGACTCAAAGATGTTGTGGGGCTCAGCAATTTTAAGCGGGACATCCGCTTCAACTGGGGATCAAAGACATAGGCGATTGGTTCAGGACCCTCTCCTCCTCATATAGCATGTCTATGGTGTGTGGTCGGTTACTCTGCTGTAGTTTAGACCCCCCCCCCTCTCCCCGAGAGAAGCATCTTTAACAGGCTGTGGTTTGCATCAAGAGATAAATGGATGGTGTTAGTCTATAATGTATGTAAAGAGTTTGGTCATGGCTTTAAATGTATCAAAATAGTTTAAAAAGATCAGTTTAGGGACTTTTTAATAAATAAATTTTATGTGGTGGCAAGTTGAGAGTTGTTTGTAATCCATATGTTGTTTCAAGGTGAGGAATTTTTTAACGGTCAAACCAGCGACCTCCCCCACTTGTTGCATACCAACGTAACCACACTTACTCCCTCTTTCATTTCCCCCCTCTGACTTTTTCTCTCTCTGTCTCACATACACACTAATTCACACACACTGCTTCACAGTCCTACTTCTCCACCCACCAATATGCAGTACAAACAAGTTATACATCTGTAGAGTATGCTGATGTGTGAGCAGTTACACAGTGACACACCAGTCTTTGGTTATTCATTCAGCCTCTTTCTTTCTTTCTTTCTACAAGTTACATTTTTTTTAAAGTTTTCTTCTCATGAGATTTTCATTGGGAGTGGCCAGTTACCAAGCAAATCTGAGATGGTTTGGGTATATGCAGAGGAGGGATAGTGGCTATATTGGATAATGGATGTTTAATACTTTGCTACCGGACAGGGGGAAAAGAGGAAGACCTCAGAGGAGGTTCATGGAGGTAGTGAAGGAGGACATGCAGAAGACTGATGTGACAGCAGAGGATGCTGAGGATAGGGTAAGATGGAGGGAGATGATTCGACCCCTGAAGGGAGCAGCTGAAAGAAGAAGAAGAGGGTTTTTCCAGAACGAATCATAACAAAAACGTTCATTCTTGGCTGAGTTCTTCTCTGAGGATGAACGCTTCACTGATAAGTAAGCCTTCTTCACAAGACGCTCACATCAACACTGAATGTTACAGGTCAACTAAGATATCAGAGATCTTTGTCTATAGTTGAGAGGTCTACCTATACCGACATAGATGTAGCACAAGTGATCGTATCTTCACATATAAACAGATTGAGACTATGTTTGATTTTAAGCCATACGAATGGCAGTGGCAGTAAGCTCATTCCATTTTTTTCCACTAGCGCCACAGGGAGGTTGTATCTGAAATATCTTGCCAACTAATGGATGGCTTGTCATTAAATTTGACTTATTTTCCCTTTTAGACTTATTTGGGTTCAGAGATGACCCAACAAACAGCCTGGTTGCTTGAAGGTATCAGTTACTGAGAACAAAAACATTTTTTTTCTTTACAAATCTTTTCAGAAGAAGTACGAGCCAGCATGAAAGACTATCACCTAAAACAATCTACTCTAAATAAATAAAAAAATGTGATTTGATTTGGAAAAATTCAAGTAAACACAAGTGCAAATCAGACCTTGGTGTTTGAGTGCTCACTTTCAGCACTGGACAGTTATCTATACTCTGTCCCGATGAACACGTTGCATTAAGAAGTATTGAAGTGTGATACCTGACAAGTGCACATTAGACTGAAAGACACAAATCCTTCTGTTCACAGGCTTACACTGAAATGTCCACTCAAATCAGTGGGAATGTTGCTCTGCCAGACTGTCTTCAATCTGGCAGCAAGTGAGAGAGAACATAAGCAAGAAAGAGGGGGATTCTCCAAAGACTTTAATGCTCAAAGCCCCCGCCCGGTTCCCTACACAAACTTTAAGCAGTAGCTTGCATTGTAATACATTACTGTAGACGTGACATCACAATTGCAATGGTTAGTAACTGATTAGTAACAGCTGTTGTAGTACTGAATCATATGATTGTATAACCAGCAGGTCTATAGTGTGGGCAAGCAGTTTACAGTAATCTTCAGATTGTTGCATGCTGCTGTACTATTGGATATATAATCCATGGGCATTTCCTGCTCTGGACAAAGCACACATTGTGCAGGAAAGCGTGACGACATCTACACACCATGCTCAACACAGTGCAGATGAAATACAGAGTGATGTGTTCTGTCTGTGGCCCCCGGGGGCTGAACACGATAAAAATACTCAGACCATGCACACGTCTGCCTTCCCTCCATGGACAGTCACAGAGAGATGCACTGTCTTATTTGTGTATGTGTGTTGACTGTGTGTTAAAAATGGGCTAAGAGGATGCAGTATTCACACTAGCCCGGAATTGATGATCGCACTGATCTAGGCTTTGTGGAGTATGTGCTTGTTCGTAGGCTTCGAGGAGGTGTCTTTCTGCTTAAATTTACTCCACTCGTATTAGTTCAGTGGAAATTCCTAGTCACGCTGCTCAAATCCAGTGAAGGAGAACATTTTTGGAGAGCCGCTTCAGTGTGTGTTACTGTGTTCTTTTGGATGATGTGTGGAGATGAGATTAATGCTGACAGCGTTTCAAATACAGCAGCAGAATGTTACTCCCTCGCCACTGAAGCCAAATGCCATTTGAGACTCATTATTCTGTTCTGCTTCCCCTCATACACACAGACTGACACATGTTGGTTTGCTTTTAGATCAAGATAATGGTATGTTTACTAAACGATATGTGGTAATAGTCAGGTTGTTCATGTTCTTGTGCCAGAGATTGCACACCTGCCAGTTAACCTCAGAAGAAAGGTGAAGTAGGATCAGTTTCTCCACATGGCTTCCTGGATAAATGGCCGTGTCAGCTCTCCATAACAAACCCGTTAATCCTGAAACATAGTTTCTGTGTGACTCTCTTTTTTCTCAGATATTTATATCCTTACTATCGGCATTCACTCAATCTTAGTCTAAATTTTACAGCTCTCACTGCTTTTCTCAGTCTTAATCTTGTCCCGGACCCCTTTAACTGAGGCATGTCCAAAGTCCGGTCCGGGGACCAATCGCGGCCCTAGGTCAGATCTTTTATGGCCCCTCGATTTTCAGACCATGTGTTTTATCTAAGTCTCGTTTAAAATTGACCTGAGATACTGATATTCAGCGGCTTCACTGAAGTTACAGGTATTCCCGACAGCTTGATCTTTATGTTATTTTCTCTCCATATGTGAATGAAAAGTACATTTTTTTTGTTAAGGCTTAAACTCTCCTGATCACCGTAATGACAGCTCTTGTGTTATTGAAAATAAATTGTATTTATGCTTCCAAAAAGGCAAGAAGAATTGTTGGCCCCTGGGTGATTTTCCATTAATAAATATGGCACCCTTGGAAAAAATTTTGGACACCCGTGCTTTAACTTATCACGCCATCTCCCCTCCTGGCCAAACTCTTTTTGAACCACTTTCCTATCTCCACATTCTTACATCTACCATCTTTTTTCCCCCCACTCATCGCTCTATTGTTAGGACTCTCTCAGTAACCCCTTTGCTAAACCAGCTCTGGTTAAATAAGGGATAAAAAGAGAGAAAAGAAAAGGGGGGGAAATTAGAGTTGGCCAAAATCTGACAAGACAGAGCAGAAGAGGTGGGTGAGACTAGAAAGAAAATAAACAGAGACTGCTGTGAGTGGGTGGAGATTGAGATCTATAAGCACTTATGTTACCATACTCATTGACAGTTTTTTCCCTTCAGAAGCTCCCGTGTGAGAAATTGTGTTTTGCAAAAGACCAGTATACGTTTCCTCACATATCAACAGTGTGTTGTCTCACCCGTGGTGCAGACTCACACATACTTATACACATTTTCCGTACACTCACACAGATTACTCATACACTACATATGTTCATGAACACAAAATGAACGTCAGCCGTGGAGCTGCAGTAATTCCTCTGAGACCTAAACATTGTGCCTGTGAATGGACCCTAGGTGATTCATCAGCAGCAGAATGAATTCCCCCATAGGCACCGATGTCTATTTTCTGTATTTTCCCTCCTAACGTTTCAGCAGTAGTGTCCTGACTCTCATCCCTGAGGTTGTCTTCTGCTGTGAGTCATAGGTAGAAACTGGTGTGAAGGGAGATTTATATAAGTAAGAGAGAAAGAAAAGGGGTGTTTTTTTTGGACAAGAGCAGCTTGTTTAAGGGACGTGCCTGCCAGCTGTTTGGCAAGATGACTCGTAGGATTGTGTAATCCTCAAGGGCCTGGGGGTTTCTACGTGTCACTGGGCTCCCTGAGCTTCACCACACTCGGTGTTACAGCTGTCAGCTTCTGGCATCCACGGCTTAAACATAACAGCAAATAAAGAAAGCAGAGTCCTGATGCTTGGACCGAAGATTATTAAGGAGAAAGGAACTGATACTCTCCCCAAAGAAGTATCAGTTTTATGGAACAGCTAGTGAGGACAAAAGTTAACAAGTCCATCTGCCACGCAGTAAAACCATCTGTGACTTGATTTTCTTTTCTGGCTCGATCGTTTTAATGTGACTTGTTATATAACTTACAAGCTGAACTTATGCTTTTATGTGTCCCATGTCCTCTGTAACCATACACCTTACCACACCCTGTGTGTCTGCTGTTGTCATGCTCCTAAAACAGTGGGAGTTTCACCGACCTACCTTCTGAATCAGTACAACAAAGGCTACAGCACATAATCTTTAAATCAGATATGACCAAAAATTCTTGCTTCGCAATTCCTGTTATGACGCGCTTCAGACCTCTGCTGGTAAATCAGTAAGAATACTGGAATCGCCACTCAGAAGTTAAACCTTTTAGATTGATCTGATGCAATATAAGTAGGTTTTGAAACACCTTTCCCGCACCTGTGTGGTGTGTCTACATATTCGCAGTGCTTCATATATCTGTGCTTGTGTAATGTGTTCATGAAATTAACACAATTCCTGTTTTTCTCAGCAGAAACGCAGTGAAAGGATGGTGTGACAAACAGACTTCCAGAGGAACCAGTCACTGCTCAGCGCTCAGAGGGAGACCATGGCTCCCATGTCCCTCATGCTCCTGGTCTTGCTCACCTCCATCATCGATTTTGCCGATGCTCAGACCGTCATCGGCTACTCCTCCTCCTTCTCTTCTCTGGACCTGCCTAGCGATTCTTCACCTCCACCAACCAAGCAGACTCCTCGTTTCTGGCCATCTTTGCCTCCCAGGGGACGCAGTGATGTGCCCATCAGAGTTACAGGACAGGACAGGTTAACAACTACAAATACAGTGGAGCAGAGGGAAAGACTCCATCCATCGGTGACACAGTTCAACCGCCCTCTTCAGTCTGCCCTTCCCACACAGAACCTTAGCAGTGGACTAATTGTAACCCAACCAACTGCCTCTAGGCCCAGAACTGACACAGCCAGTTTAGCATTCAGCAGGGCTTTCAGAAAGGGAGTTGCCACTACAAAAAGCTCAACTCCACCTCCACTTGCGTTGGACTCTGCCGAAGTGGCTGAGCCTGCAGGTGATAAGACAGTGACAGGAGCGAATCCAAAGGAGGAAGCAATTAAAGAGAAGCAGGGTGTTGATTCACAAGGGTTGGGATCAGGTATTGCTCCAACAGTAATGTTTGTGAAGGAGGAATCACCCGATCCTCTGTCAACAGTTGATGATGAAATGGCACAGTATCGACCGCAGGCACAGACCGTGGCCTCTAAAGTTTCTGATGTAAAAACTCCACCACTGGACAGTCAGACCGTGAAGCCTCACCTGTTTGCGTTGACAACCACCAGCACAACCAGAACCACTTCTACAACAGTAGCGAGTGAGAAAGTGATGACCCCACTGTCCTCTGTGGTAACGCAGCAGACACTTAAGACTGTGCAATTAAAAGGTGAGAAATCGAAAATGCTTGGTTGTTACATGAGAATCATAATCATGATTATGCTAGTTAGTATTAAGATTGGGATCATTTACTGAATCAGTTTATCTCAGTTATCTTGTTTTTAACAATTGTTTGAAGCCTTAAATGTAACTGAATTTAAGTTCAGGTAAGGGGTTAATGCTCGATGTGTTTCCTTTCCTGGAAAATTCTAGGTGAACTGGGACCAAACACTCCTTCCACTGACAGAGTTACTCCAAAGCAGGACTCTGATGCTGAGATGTTACCCCAACCAACATCTACCGTGACTGGCTCTATTGCTAAACAGCTCCAGCCTGGAGCACAGCCGGTTACTACCCAAAGCAAGAACAGTTCGCATTCAAACACCACAAAACTACAAGTGACAAATACTTCTACACCCAGTGTGCTTCTTTCTGCCAAATCAACAACTCAGCTCAGCAAAACAGTACAGCGAGGAAGACATGCTGCAAGCACAACAGTGCAGTCACTGAAGATAGGTAAGAAACAAGAGCCTTGTGTTCTCTGTTTCCTGTGTCCTCTGGTAATTCAAAATGGAATTATTTGTGCAGCTGGGACTTTTTTACTGGAAGAATTTAAAAAAAAAGTCTTCAAAGGAGGGGAAAAGTAGACACACGTTTCCATGGAAAGTGGGGTTGTAATGTGTGGGTAGACACAGCAAGGGAGGTGAGAGAGCAAGCTTAAGAGGGGGTGGGCAGAATTTCAGCCAGGCAAAGAGATAAGAGAAAAAAAAAAGGAAGGGGGGGGGGGCAAGGGCCTAAAAAAGAGACTATTGGGAATACCGATGAGAGAGTAGACGGTGTGGGTGAAAGCAGAAGAAAGGTACTGGCATAGGAAATGCAGGGAGTGGAGATGGCAATGAAAACCAGATGCAGAGAGGAAAGGGGATGAAGGGAGAGGAGATGAGGAAAAGTAAATGGAAAAGGAAAAGCTTGACACGTGGGACACATGACCCAGTCTCTTAGATACCGTAAGAATAACATCATTATGACTTTTAAACAGCAGGACTCTCCTTCAGAGCACCTTTAAAGGAAGCGCACTCAGGTTTTTGTTCTGTAAGCATGAGCCAACTCTTTTTCTTTTCAACATTAGCTTACGTTGGTTCAGCCAAAGCCATTTGGCCGCTCCTTAACCGTGACATAATGGGCAAGGGTCCGAGGTCTGTTTTGCTCTTTCATACTCAGTCATGACAGCGGTAGCAGCTGCTGCGCTCATAATAAAAAGCAGAACACTGGCTAGTTCTATCATATGAACCTCAGTTCGTGCACGTACATTAGACCTGCAGAGATAACCTGATGAGCACAAACAACGATGCACTCAGACTCAAAACCCATCCGTATATCAAACAGTAACGTTAACTACCATAATGAACATGCTTACAGTTATGTACACACACACACTGGGAAGCTCCTCGAAGGAAATTGGCTAGTTAGGCTACAGCACAAGTGCGTAAATGAAAACTTCACCATAACTGTGTTTCTAGTGATTATCGAAACTCCATCAAACTCCGTCTCTCAGGTGGAGAAAGGGAAGACTGAAGTGAGAATCCTTCTCCCATTTACTTGCAAAAAGGATTAAAAGTAAAATAGATTTTAAGACTTTTTTTAGTTTACAGGAGAAAACTGATCTGAAATGATGATAAAAATGTTGTGTTCACTGTTTTGCAGCCACTCCTTTTCCCATAGTTGTGTTTGGAAATATACCTTTTTTGAACATGTGAGTCATGTGATGATAAATTTAGGCAGATTTGTCATACCAAAGCATTAATTTTAGGTACGCTGTATATATTATCAAGTAGTTCCTGAAGTGCTTACTGAAACAGGAACTACCACAACGATTATTTGTGTTCTTTGTGTCTACATACCTGACTGGGGACTGATTTTGTCAGCACAGTAGATTTTCAGTAGTGCAAGATGCAAAAAAAACTTCATAAGTGTGTGCTTGAAATTAAAAAAACAAAACAAAACTCCTTGCCATAGATTCTTTTTAATTTCTAACGTATCTGTATCTTCCTTATACGAGGTATCTTTATCCGGTGTTCAAACATAAAATATTCCCAAAGGTGGGTGTGGTCCGAGAACTCACAGACTTCTTGGCCTGCGTTATCCAATCACATGGTGGTCTCCAGTTATTTTTCACCTCATTTCAACATGTGGACATATGAAGCCATGTTGGCAGTGCATATGTGAAAGAGGAAAAAAAACTCAAGGGCAGGGGTAGGTTTAAATGTATCCAGCTGTGTAATGTGATCACAACATCTGGAATGTGTCTGGATCTCGCTCCTGTTAGAAAAAAAAAACTAGAGGAAAGTAAAACATAGCTTTTGTATAAATAAAGAAGTGTGCCTGTGATCTGCATGCAATGCTCAAGTATGCAAAGCATTTTTGTGTGTGTGGTGTCTGCGTGCGTGATAAAATGAGGCAGCGAGGGAGAGGAGTGAGTCATTATTTAGTGTGGCAGTTTTATGGTTGTCTTCTACAGGGTGAGGGCGAGCTTAAAGTCTTCCAAGCAGTTGATGGTTTGAGTGTTTTATTGTATCGTTCCACCATCCATCAGATTTAAATGTGTGTGAAACAACTCCACATATTGTGTATCTTTGCTGTCTTTCTTAAATTATTTCTAAATTGTTACACATGGTAGTATTGTTACTGTGATATATGTACATAAGTGGCTTCCAAAGACCTCGGCGATGAATGAACCTTTGGTAATGTTGTTGTGTGTTTCAGAGTCATTCCAGGAGGAAAAGGTGGAGTGTATTGAACAGAGTGTGTGTGAACATGACAATATTAAAGAGAGAAAGAGAAACACAGACAGAGATGTTATATTGCCAAGATGTCTTGTCTCATTAGGTCATTTTGCATTGTATAATACTTTAAATGTGAACAGCAGTTTCCCTGGATCATACATGTATTGTGACACATCACTGAGTTGCATAACACAGATGTCCTTGTTAATTACATAATCTAATCCAATTAAGTCAGACAATTGCTTCCCGGTTATTCAGAGGAGCTCTTTTGTTAGTCAGATACATTTACAATATAAACAAGAGGATCGGCTTGCAGTGCTGTTCACATAGAATATTAGGGTTTTTGGGTGATTGACATTTCATCTTTAAAACTGGTTTTAGAAGAGGTGCCTTGTCTTTGGATTCCATATTTATGTGCATTTTTACTAAGCGATATGCAGTCTCTAGACTTCTGTTTTTATACATGAACACTTTGTTATTTCCATACTTAGAAACAGTTATACATCTGATGGTAGTGAAAAGAGAGATGAGAGTGACACGAAAACTGATGCTAATGCAATGGTGCACAGGCGATGTTGCTCCTCACCTTCTGGTGACCCTGAATTGGATAAGCAGCTGAGGAAGTGATTTCAGAGATTTTGAAGAGAGAAACGTGGCGCTCAAAAGATCCTGATTTTAGGAGATCTCCACAACAGCCAAGATTTGAATAGAGGTAGAACACCCAGGACTTTTTTATTATATTGGATGGTGATTCTAAACAAGCAGTTTTTATGATCTGGAGCCTGTAAAATAAAGTTGATTTGATTTCACAGTTTGGCGTATTTGAGTAGATAGACCTTGGACAATGCACCTCTGCAGAGCTGATTAGGTTACTCTGCACAACTGAAAGGTCTCAGCTGTCTAGCTCATGACTGTGGTGGTGAACTAAACCCCTCTAGTGGTTGTCCTAGGTTCTACATCTGTATTAATATCACTTCAGAACAATATAGCATATTTTGTGCATTTCAGCATTTGAAAATCAAAACACTGTTCTTCTTTTTTTTCTAGGGGTCTCTTCCAGTCTTACAGCGAGTGTTGTACCAGTCATCCAAACACGGTTTCGTCCCACATATCAGAATGGTATTATTCAGAAGAACCACTCTCATCAGCTATCGAGGAACCCTCACTCAGCTCCTTATTCCACTTCTGATCCAGCTCCCTCTCCCAGTGCCAATTCCTCACCTAATGCCACACTTCTTTACTGGGGTGATCTAAGCCGGACACTTGCTTTCGCCTGGGAACTTCACGTCTACGGATCTGCAAGCCTCTTCCTCTTGCTGTTTGCTGGAGCTGCTCTTGGCCTCACACTGTCCCCTGGCGCAAACTGTCCTCATCGTGGTGCTCTTGCACTGGCCAATGCTCTGCTGTTTCTGGCTGGAGGCCTCAGAGCAGCTCTATTTCTCATTGATCCCTATGGCACACGAAAATTCCTCCCTCGCCCTGCAGTTACAGCCATCTACAACCTGCCTCTGCACCTCCTGGTATGGACACATGCTGCCCTGGCGCTGCTGGCAGTGAGGGTGGCAGGAATAAGTGCGTTACCGCCAACCATGGAGCGGCCTCCTCTGGTGGCTGTGCTGACTGTGTTGCAGTGTACCCTGCTGCTGGCAGCTGATCTGCTCTCCCCAGCCCTCTCTCCTGTGGTGCCTGTTACCCTACAAGTCCTGTCTCTGTGTTGGGGTCTGGGTCTCTGCCTGGGCTTTCTTTGCTATGTCTTCCCACGTATACGCTGCCCTGCTGTTCCTCAAGCCGGAGTTTCCGAAGAGGTACGGAGAAAGGCTTGGACAGGGAGCAGGAGAATAGGAGTGATTCTGGGAAGAGTGCTGGCAGTGTGTGCAGTTCTTGGGGCTTTGTGTTTTGGGTTGCATGCCCATGCTATCTTGTGGCTTTATGGACTGTTAGGTGACTGGACACGCTTCAACTGGGGATGGTGGCTAGTGCATTTCTGGGCCCGACTCCTGGAACTAGCCTGGGGGTTCTCCCTGCTCCTCCTGAGCTCGTGGGTGTTCTGGAGGCCTCAGAGTTGCCGTGGAAGGGAAGAAGGTGGCCAGGATGGAAGAGCAGCAGGAGACCTGGCATCCCCTAGTGATTCTGCAGGCTCCCCTCAAACACACACCTGCTGGTCCAAGATAGTCCAGAGCCTGAAGGGTAAGCCCTGCAGGAAGTCTGACAGTAATGGCGTAGGAGGAGGAGGAGGTGGAGGAGTAGGAGAAGTGCCTAACAACTGGGCTGGCCAGGAGCGTCCTGGGGCTGATATCAGCAAGAGTCTGATTAGAAATCAGAACCATGAGCAGGCCGTTTCACAGCCACTTGTCAAAGACAGCAACCGGGGACGGAACCATAGGGGCCACTCTGCAGAGCGAGGCACATCTGACGGCTCTACTGGCTCCCTCCTAAGACTGCAGACGTTTGGCCAGCCTCCACAGCGCTCGGTGAGCGGCAGCCTGGATCAGGATAGGGATACTTCCCTGTCTTTCTATGAGTTTGACCTGCGGCCGCCCTCCCCCATCGACCTGACCCGCAGCATCGATGAGGCTCTGCACAGAGAACACCTGCTTGAAGGAGGGAGCCTGTTTCATCCTTTGAACCAGACCTTACAGTCCCCTTCCCCAGGCTCAGGGGTCAGTCAGGGGCCCTGGCTCCGCAGGAACAGTGATCCTCAGTTGCTCTCAGAGAGTAGCGAGGCTCCAACAGAGTCTTCCATGCCACTGGGGGGAAGCATTCTCAGTAGTGTACCCAGTAGGCAGGTGACTGCTCCCCCAACGCCATCCCACCAGGGTCACAGATGGGCTGGAAATGGGACAACAAGTGTCCCTTCATCAGTGTCCTGTCCTGTGTCACTCCGTCCCTCCAGAACCTCAACGGGGCATTTGGGAGACGATGGAGTGGACGACACACGACCGTTTATCACCCCAGACTCTGAAAGTGTGCGAGGGAGAGCTGCGAGGCCAGTGGGGTCACGCAGTTACCTGGAAGTCAGTCGACATGACGATTCTGCCAGTGTCAGCAGTGAGATTATTGACCTATGAGCCTAACCTTGGACATGAGGACCAAATGACTGCACATCTAACGCATTCATTTAACAGGAACTAATCCTAACCAGGGATGCTGCAAATATTGGGATAATAGTATTATTAAACTGTGTAATAATACTTTTTGTCAAAAGAGTGAAAATATAAAAACAAGGATCTGGGTGACAAACTTAAAAGGTGTCACCTAGCTGCCTTTTGTCTTTGTTGATCAGATTAGCTGTTGATTAGCATAATTTATAGACAAACAGCACGCTCACTTTCCCATCTGTCTATCTTTTTCTTGTCTGTTTAACACTGGTATGACTTCAAGTACACTGAGAGCACACTTACATACAATTCCTGAGAATGGCTCTTTAGCAGGTCCGTGCTTGTGACTGGCTTCAGACTTGTGAAGCTGATGAATTTAATCTTTCAAGAAAGTAAGTAGATTTAGATATTCAAGTTCTTGCTTGGAAACATTACTTTAACAGCGTTAAGTTTAAAGGGTAAAAGACAAATGATGCTCCAAGTGTCTTTGTGTCCTGTTCAAATGGTTTCTGCAAAAAGAAAAATACATGACTGCATATGATTGCTCATCAGTTCGATTCCTTTACTAGAGTTTCTTTGCTGTCTTTCATATTTCAGTTTGCTTCGTGATGTAAAGTTGTGCCATACGTAATCAAAGTTGGTTTCTGTGCTATTATTAATGGTTTTATAAACCCATTATTTGGGTTAATGGTCTCTAGCATCTTAGCATTATGACTCAGCTGCAGATTACTACATCTAAGCTCTTAACTTGCTGCTGCCATCATTGTACTTGTCCAGTTTGCCTTGTATTTTAAAACCGGTTACATAAAGAGGCAGGCGATAAACAACAGCCAGAGACACAGCTGCGGAGCAGACACCTGCTAACATGTGTTCCTGAGGTTTTTAGCTGTTGATCAAATTGACAGACTTTAAATATGGAACTCAACTATGATGCATTTTGTTGAAGGACAGAGCTTTGCAATCAATAACCATGCTTAACGTAAGCCTCTCAATAAAAAGCTGCATTCAGTTCAATATGTTTGGTATCTAATTACATGCTTCATAGCTTTGCAGGGCTGCAGCACACAAGACCGGCTTAGCATGAACCTCAGAATTCCTATAGTTAGGCCTGACTCAATAACGGAGCACTTAACCCCAAGCCTGAGCACTAGACTGAAGTATTTTATTACTAAAAAGGAAAATATCTTTGAAATCTATGATGTATAAGCAACAATGTAAATAGTTATTTTTGATGTTTCATGAATAAAGGTGTATTTGAAACAGTTATAGTTGTTACTGTGAAAGACAATCTAAGTGATATTGCTTATGCGTCTGAGCTGTGCAGACAGTTTTGCTATTTCGACGTCAGATTGTGGCCTGTTTAGTACATGCAGAGCTGTGACAGCTGATGCTTGACTGCAGATGTTATGTTAAGGACTTTTTGGGCTATGCTCAGAATTTAAAAAAGATGGAGGTTTAGCGAAGTGTACAGTTGACGGTCAGGATCGGTTTGATTTTTTATTTTATTTCAGCTTTTCCTGTCGTTAGCGGTGACAAAATTATTGGGGGGAAAACAAACAAAACAAAAACAACATTTTGGTGAAATCATATTTCGTCCATTAATTCATTTGAACTGTTTCTGATCCCAAAAGATAGCCCAGTGGTTCCCTCTGAAACTTGAACGGTTTTGCTCCAACTTGAGATATACTTTATTATAAATGAAACTTACAGATTTATCATTGTGATTCAGTCTTTGAATGTTGTTTTGAATATGTGAGGATAAAGTGACATTTTGTTTTGCATTATTTGGGAAGAAACATAGTTACTCATGCCTCTGTTCCTGATTAGAGCCAGTCCCTTACTTGTTTTCCGGTTACCTCAGGGTGACTTGCAGCACCTCCCAGTGATGTGAGACGCTTGACTTATATAGTATTTACAGTACAATGGCCTTTTGTTGCTGTCTACATTCCAGTGAACCTGTATAATTTTACCGTATCATCTCTCGCCATTACCGCCATTACCTATTTTACTTCATGGCAGCCGTGGTTCCTCCAGCAACTGTAGTGTTGTCCTACGGAGCAGTAAGTCCTGTAGAAAATGTGCCCCTTTTGGTCTTTAGCCATTTTGCAGAAGTGCAGTGTTAGCGTCATCTGTTTACTTTGCTCACTGAACTTTTGTTCTCGTATTTCTTGCTGCATTTTTTGTTTGAATTTAAATAAAAATGATAAAACTCAAACCCACCTTTGTTATCATGTTTTTCTTTATTTTTACTTGCATATCTAACACAATGGCAGATATACTGTTATACTGTTCTGTATAATCACCTACAGAACAGTACGAAATTGAAGATCAGTGTTTTTCATCTTCTTCTTGTAGTCCTCATTAAACTGTTCATCCTGCTGTACAGTGAAGTGATTATTCCAGTCGCCAACCCTTCCTGAAAATAGAGAAATTAGGAGCAAAGTTAACATCTCCTCCTTCACCTTTCAGCAAACAAACTTACAGGCGAATGTACCCGACCTTTGCGCATGAAGGGGGAGATTTTTAAATCGAAGACTTCATCAGCGGAGCCATTCACCATCTTGTTGTTCTTCATGTTGTCAAATTGAACTTTTTCTGTGACTTGTTTCTTCAGCTCTGTGGTAGGAGACAATCCCAGGAATGAGCAGATGCGGACGAGTTCTTGTTCAGTATCCTGCAAAAATAAAACAAAAAAACAAACCCACAACCCCTTATTATGTGTTTATGTCCACAGCCTCACAGACAGTAACTTCAACACTCACCTCAATCAGGTCCTCATAGAACAAATACAGGATATTAGAACAGGTCTGTTTCTTCTCCCACCATCCTCTTACATGTTCGTACCAGGAGCCAAACACCACTGACAGATGCCAGAAGACAAATCATAAGTGATAAAATAACCTTTCGCATTTAATGTATTCAGTCATTCATGCTTGTGGTTTGTCACTCACTTTTTCCCTCCATGAATCTCTGGAGGAAACTCCCAGCTGCCAGGCTCTGGCTGGACCTTGTTCATGCGATCAAAGTGGAAATAGGATACGGCACTGTCCTTGGCATTACGAGCCACATAGATTATCTAAAACCGGAAAGAAATGACAAACAAACACTGAGAAGATTGTCTCCGTGAATCGTACCAATAGCTTACTTGTGAGCCATGTACCTTGGAGTTCTGCTCCCAGAATGATTTGGGAAGGAACTGAACTGGTAGGTGTGTCTTGATAATGCGTGGAAAGCTGGTTAATTCATTCAGCACATCCACTCCTAGTAAAAGAGATCATTATGTTAGCGGAACGTCACAATGACATTGATCTATATCACCAATATTACAGTCACCAGTTACTTTGCCAAATACACTTTACTATTATTAGGTTAGAGCCTAGTTTGCCGTCAACTGTCTAATTATTCATGATACAGATTGAACGAGGTACTAGAAAGATTCCTCAGAGATTTTGGTCCATATTAATACATCCCAAAGGTGCTCTATTAGACTGAGTACTGGTGACTGTGAAGGACTAGTCCTAGGCCTTCATGGTCAAGAAACTAGTTTTATATGATCTGAGCTTCATGACAGTAGCCATCAGAAGATGGGTAAACTTTGGACATAGACAAAAAACAACAAAAAAATACTCTGTTAGGATGCCTGGGTCGTTGACCCAGGGTTTTTGAGTTTATTATATTATTTATCATTTCTAGTCTTTGGTTTCTTTGTTAGAGTTCTGTCTTATGGTTTATGTCTCTGTGTTCGCTAGTTGCTCTGTCTCCCCTGTCAGGTGTATCGCTTTGTCAAGTTCGCGTCTCTGTGTTATGTTTCCTGTTTTACTTTGAAAGTCTGTCTCATGTATATGCGTCTGGTTTTGCTTCCTTTGTCTCGTTAGGCCTGATTTGCCCCAGCTGTGTTTCCCTCCTGTTACCCATTCCCTGATTGCTCCCTCTGTGTATTTATGTGAAGGCTGCACACGGCTGTCACATAACAGATACTTGGTGTGCTCTTGTGCTTCTGTAGCACATCTGCTCCAGGGTTGGATGCGTTGTCAGGGGCGGACCTAGAAGGGTGGCATGGGGTGGCAAGTGCCACCCTAAAATGATCCCTTGCCACCCCATTTTTGCATATGACAGTGTTGTTTATTAAAATAAGATAGCATTAACACTTTGAGCATAGTTACAGTCAACAGTGAATATAAATGCTAAAACTGAATACATTCCATAGTGTTCCCCCCTCCACCATTAACAAATGGATCAGCCCATAGCAGGACTTTTTTCTTGTTTTCAGTAGCAAGCATGCTTATGATTGTGCCAGAGCACATTTTGAACAACACCATGGGAATTTCGCTTTTTACACAGGTGGTTGGATGTTACACTCTGGAAATGGAAGGAAGGTGAGTGTTATTAACCCTCCATGGTCCACGGACATGCTGCACCTCCAAATCACATGACTATTTTAAGCTGACATAGCAACAAGCTGCAGCCATGCTGAGTCTCTGTTTCAGCCCAAATTGAAAGTTCGGACTTCAATGCAATGTTTTTAAATTTTAATTACAGGCCAGTAAATCCAGAGTTATGATAATATATATAAGCCACGCTTTTTTCTAAATACTGTTGTCACGTTTTTGTGTGTGTGTGTTTTAAGCGTTTTGTAAGGACAGCGCGAAAACAGTAAAGAAAGGGGAAAAGCCACCTCTTTCCTATTGGTGGAAAAATGTACCATGTCGACCAATTTAAAAAAAAAGTCAACACGTGGGATTTGGTTGTTTAGGAAGAGGGGAAAGTTTTGGGAGTGACGGTAACAACAGAGCTAGCGAGTGAGAGATTTTAGATGTGGGAGATTTGTGATGTTTAGTGTGGAGTGTATACTTAGTGTGTTGTGTTCTGTTGTGTAGTCGTTTTGTTTTGTGTGTCGGTGAGGGCACTAATGAATGTCACAAAGACACATTTGTAAACACTGTCACCAAGTAGAAAACCAGCGGAGTGATACACCTCCTGTTGTCAGGCCTGCAGGTTTATCCCTGTTCTCCTCTGTCTTCTGGTGGACAAACTTATTTTTTACTGGCACACATCATTTGTGGGGCATCTTATTGTGACACCTGATTGTTCTCTCATTTTAGTTTTAGTAATATTTTTAAATGGTTCCATAAAATGAAAAAAAAAACAGTAGGTGTATTGGCTGCATTTTTTAGATAAATAGTTGTATATGTTTACAAAATGTACAATTTGTATTTGCATTTCAAGTTATAAAAATTTACTCAACATGTCTGTGGTTTTTTTACAGTAAAAAAATACTACTAGGATTTTAAGTTCTTTGTGTGATTTCAGATCAGTAATACTAATGCAGTATGTCAGTGAAAAAACAACTAAATTCAGTTGAGCGGAAGAGATACCAAACAAGGCAAGGGGGGAAAAAAATAAAATGAAACAATCTGAGGGTGAAATACAAACGTAAACTCAAAAGGAATCAAAAAATGCCAGTTGTATTTCAGACCTCAGTGGATTAATCCAACAAATCATGAAAAATTAGGTTTAAATTTTTGTTCATGATAGTGCAGATTTCTGACATTTTGTGTAATTTAAGCTGTAACAATGTGATTGTTTTCTAACAAAAAACAGCGTAAAACTAAAGTTAGACTTGTGTTTGTAAATGAACCACCCATGTTGTGTAGCTTTCTGGATTTTATACTCATTGGGCTACATATTTATTTATTATACAGGCTGTACAGTACATAACATCAAAACTCACATGTTTTATGTAACTAAAGTGTGTAATCATGTGGGCTACAGACAATAATTAAGTTATAGACTATATTTATATGAAAAACGTGTATACTTACTGCATTTGAATCATTTGACCATATGTAACCACCTGCATATGTGTTTGGGGGGGGGAAAGGCTTTGATTTTGCCACCCCATTTGATTTCTTTGCCACCCTAAGAAGATTTCTCTAAATCCGCCCCTGTGTGTTGTGTGTTCAGATACTCTCATACTCTCAGCTTGCCTCTAATGAATGGTTGTTTGAGTTACTCTTTGCCTTCCTATCTGCTCAAAGCAGAATAGTGACTCTCCCCTGACTCCTGGCAGCAACAAGGTATTTTCACCTAGAGAATTGCAGCTCACTGGATATTTTCTCTTTATTGGCTCATTCCCTGTAAACCACAGAGACAGTTTTGTGGGAAAATCCCAGTAGATCACTATTTTCTGAAATACTCTGAGATACCAGTCCATCTGGCACCAACAACAAAATCACCCCCCCCCCCTTTCTGATGCTTGACCACGTCTACAATCCTAAATGCATTGAGTAGCTGTGATGCAACTGACTAATTAAATATTTGAGTTAATAAACAGCTGCACAGCAGCAGCTGTACCTGATAAAGTGTCTTTATTAGAGTGTCTAGAGTTTATCAGAGTGTCTTTATTATGCCTGTCACACTGTGAGCCTTTAAAACAACTTGCCTGAGGGGTAACCAGACATTTGTATCTCCAGAAATGGCACTCGTTCATGGAGTGGGACTGAGCCTTGACGCTCAGGTGAAGTCTGGCCAAAGTACAAAAGGTCCAGGATGTAAGACACCCATGTGTTTCCTCAGGAATTAAAAAAAATTGACAGAAAAAACATAAGTACTTCCTCAAAGATGCGAACAAAATGTGTGTGTGTGTTTTTTTTTTGTTTTTGTTTTTTAAAACCTACCTGCTTTAGGGTAAGACGCTAAGACGATATCATCTGGTCTTGCTCTGAAATTCTGGACGTTTTCCCAGTTGTCAGTGAAGTAATTGGTCATGCAGACTCCATGGAAGTCAAATAGTGTAGGTCGTGATAGTGACTCCATCTTTTTTTTTTAAAAAAAAAAAAGAAAAGAAAGAAAACCAGCGTTTGTTTACCATCTACAGACCAATTCAGAGCAAATTCGACAACACTTTGTTCCTTGTAGCCACATTACAGAAAACAAAGCTTACTAAGTTATTGGAAACGCCCTTTAAAAGTAAAGTATAAGGTTTGACTCAAGGACAAATAGAAAGTCTGTGTGTGTGTGTGTTTCTCTGTGTTTGGATCTATTTATTTTATTTTATTCCTTTTTTCCATTTTCATTCCTGTAAAGTATAAATAAATATGGGTTCTGATCTTATCACACCAGAAGAATGCATGTTTGATTGATTGATTGATTGATTGATTGATTGATTGATCATACTTTATTCATCCCGAGGGAAATTGGGTTAAGGCTGCCAGCCGTGCCAGCGCCATCTTACCCTTCCGACCATACATACATTACACAAACATCACATGGGTTAGACAGGTCAGAGAGGTATAACAATGGAAAATACACAACATGAGGAAAGACGAGGAGAAAAAAGAGCTCCCCCCAGACTGAGCTCCAACAGGGAGATCAGTTTGAGAACAGAAAAACAAAACACCTCAGCGCATACAAAAAGCACATGACTATCAATACACCGTAGAAACACAAGACAAGCAACAGGGACGGGTAAAGGGTAATAGAGAGCCGGTGTAGACAGCGCATTGTGCCCATCCAGGCAAAATTTAATGGTGAAAAATGAATTAAATTATCAAATTAATTAACTGAATTATTAAGTATAAGAATGCATGTTTTTCCATTTTGTAGAGAATGAGCATCCTCTACTCTGAAACGCTAGGGGGAGCTGGTCGACAGTATGCACGTCAGCCAGAAGCCTGGCTGCAGACCCCATAACCATTACCGTTAAGCCTTGATTACATACCGCACTATGGAGGCAAACTGGAAAATACCACTGGGGCCGCTTACATCGAGGGTTAATGGGAGGATTAGTACGTGCAAAGTATTTAATGGATATTTGGACTGTACCCCCGGGGGCGTCAATTTGGAACCCTTCATAAAGCCTTTTTAAAATACCTCCCTATAGCTATATTGATCCAAATATGAAACGTTTACTGTGGACTAGGACTATTTTACTAAATATACATATGTGTGTAGAAAAGAAGACAACTTAAACTCAGTAACCATACTGCTGCAGACGTCGGGGAGGGGGTCCTTGGAGGTAGATCACCAGTAACAGCGGATCCGCGAATCTCACCTTACTCCAATAAAAGTCAGTTTTTTTCCGAGTAAAATGGTCACTGCACAGAAAGCTGCTAACTGATTGTGATCCTCAGTTCTCCATCATTGTGGCTCTTTACCAAAACAGTCAACCTCTTCTTCCAAATAAGGAGACAGAGCTGTTGTGCAGATTCCGCAGTCCAGGAAACACTGGGAGGAAGGTGCAAGGAGACTAACTTTTTTCCCTCTTTAGTCAAACTTTATTTAAAACATATAACGGTGGTCATGTCCCAGCAAACTAAATATGGGGCAAAGATATGTTTACGTGAAGTGGGACATTATTATATTATTCGTGGTGGCAGGTAGCCTACTGTAGCAGGAAACAAGATAAAATCAAACAAAGTCTGCAAGTTAAGTTTGGTATTGATCGTCATTGATCATAGACAAAGGCTTTTCACACGTTTTCTTTGATCATTTTCTAACGTGAACAGTTGGTTTAAGTTAAGTTGGTTCACCATGTTCAGCTGGATGCAGTCACGTGGGGTACTGTACTTACTTTTATGGCTGCATTTGCAACGTAGACTGGTAGGGGCAGATAATATTTAACCGAGGAAGTCTGCCTTCAGGAGATCACCAATTCGCTACTACACTTTATTCAACTGGTCAAAAGCTGGAATTCAGCTGGAAGATCCCATTTATACAGCTTGTTATCTGACCTACAAAGCCGTAGATTTCATTAGAGGATATGTGCAATATGACTGTAGATTATTCGTTAAATGAAAACAGAACTATTAATCAAAAAGTATCTAACACCTTCATTCATATTGTTTGATTTCACTGTGATTGTTTGTGTAGAAAAAGGTTATTAACATAAAATTTCAAGTGCACAACACACACATGAACATAGCGATGAAAGGCCAACACTATTATGATATGAGGTGCCAACAGTTTTATTGTTCAATTACAGAGTTTAAGGGTCACCATAAGATTTGCTTTAAGTCAAATTTAACAGACTGTAAATTATGTATTTAGCCTTATGTAATTTAGAAAAGTAAATAAGCGTTAACTCACCTGCAGTTCTCTTTATCTGTGCTCTGCTCTAATAAACAGTCCAAATTCAACTTTGTACCTGACGCACTGCAGCTTAAAGCAGATGTTCAGTGTTTCCTTTGCCTTACAGGATGTGACAGAGTTCAAAAAGTACTATGAACCATCTGCACCACTCCAGGGAAATATATTACAAGTAAGACTATTCACGATGGGAAGGACCGCAGACTATCTACTGATTCAAAATGAATTTAGCTGTTGCTCTTTTTGCAACAGAGGAGCAATGAACATTAAAACGTCTGTGAAAATATTTTGTAGCGTGAGAAAATTTGTTTTGATTATAGTGTTTAACTCCTTAACACCTGGTGTGAATAGTCATCATATCTTTTCTTGTTGCTGTTATTGCTGAGTCACAATGATTAAACTGAAATGTGATCACACTTATCAACTGAACTTTGACTATGAGAATTCTTTGACAGCATGTTCAAAACTTAATTTTAATAGTGGGGATAATCACGCCCGTTCTGTTGCACATCACACAATCAGCTGGTCGTGTTTCCTTGTTTTAACGAAATAAACTGTAAATACATCTCACTTCAGTGGCTGTGACTATTTCAAAATACATTTGTTTTCAGGAGTTACATGCACAGACTTTATAAGCAGACCACTTTAGCATTAACTACCCACCAATAACAAGTTGGATGACTACTGTCCTGTAATAAATACTAATTTCCAACAAGTAATATCAAATTGTGACTTGTGAAATCCCAGGATAGTTTTTCACCTTTTCTCAGTAAAGTGGATCATGTTTGTTTTGGTTTTCTTTCTTTTTTTCTTCGTCTAAAGGAGCTTAATTTCCACTTGACACTGACAGTGGTTTTCAGAAGTGTCCCTAAGATCACAGTCATCTACTTTCAGTGCTCTTTCAGCAGCTTGAAGATCTTAACCAAGTATTTAAATCTCTTAATGTACCGTACCACAGGTTATGAAATCCCTAAAACAGAATTGTAAAACTATTTACATGAAGTTTTCACAAAGTGGGGAACTTCTACTGACTTTAATTTTGAAATGTCTGGCCTCACTGTGGCCCTCCTCCAGTTGCCCCTTTCCTGTTTTTCAGCTGAAAGGACATCTCAGCTGAGCTTTCTTTAAAAGGAGGTCATTACTTTCCACAAACACCAGGGGGCATCGCTCTTTCACTTTTGGAGCTGAAGTGAAAGAGGAAGGCTTACATCTATTCCCTGAATCTGATGTTATTTATCTGTGTTCATAAATCTCCAACAGCATTGGCTAAAACGCAGTGCCAAATGATGCCAGAACCGGCACTGTTTCCTTGTTTCACTTCCTTGGGTTTTTGACAGATGACACACCTTCACATGTCCAGCTTCTTCAGATTTGTTAAAGACACATGGCGCACTCTCCTGAGATATAACTAGTGTTCATTTGAAGACTTGGTAGATTCAGCTAAAGAAATTGACTACATAGGTGTTTGCGTGCATAAAAGAAGAGGCTCCTAGTAACAAAGTGCCAACAGATACAATTTCTAATCGGTTCTTTAATAAGTTATCTGTACACAAAAGACTGGTTTATCCCTTGAGTTAGATGGCTTTTTAATACTTGAATAATTCAAAAACACACAAACACATTCCTCAGTAGCTGATGTCCAATAAAATACTTCCAGAAAGACAACAGAACTACTGCTCAAGATCTCTTCAAAATTACAAGATGGTCTGGCTGCTTGGAAGCGAAACATAAAGAAAATAAGGGGTCACATCACTGGAAACTCATAGAGTCAAAGAATCAAATTAAACACGTGGTTTAACATCGAGAGAAAGGTAATCTGCCTCACCGTGGTGGGACGGTGTGGTGAGAAAATTAAAAGGTTACAGTCTGAAACCTGCTGTGTCACGGGACTCTTATACCATAGCTACGTCTAAGGACAAAATTTCTGCTTATGAGCAAAGAGGTCACAGTGTGTTTAGAGAGAGAGAGAGAGAGAGAGAGAGAGAGAGAGAGAGAGAGAGAGAGAGAGATTCTTAATAAAGATTTGTTTTAATGATCTGATTTGTACACATCAGCATCACAATATAAGGAAATTGTGTTTTTTTTAACTTATAATTTGATTATTTGTTAAATATTTAATCACATATTACTTCTGAGGACTATATTACACCCAGCCAGGACTCTAAATTTCAAAGCGAAACTTTAAATCAGGATACTTCATCTTCTTCTTGTAGTCTTCATCAAACTGCTCATTCTGGGCCACAGTGAAGTGGTTCTTCCAGTCACCAACTTTCCCTGGAGAAAGGAAAATATTTAGAATAAATAAATAAATTTGATTAAACTAATGAAAAATGGAGCACACACTGCTATACATATAAAGAAAAAAATGTTGCAGTTGTACCTTTTCTCATGAAAGGAGAAACCTCTTGGTTCATCACTGGAACTGTGGAATAGTTGGTCATCTTGTTTTGCTTCATGCTGTCAAACGTCACACTGGTTATGACTCTTTCCTTCTCTTCAGCTGAAGCAGAAATACCAAGGAAGGAACACAGTCGGTCTATTTCCTGTCCACAGTCCTGTTCACAAAAATATTGAAAATATTTCTTACTCTTAAAGGAACCCCAACGATTGTTTTCGTCCCTCGGGTCTGTAGTTCTATATTCATCACTGTGGATTTGGTGTTTAAGAAAAGAAAAAATAAATCTGTTATTTATAGAGAGTCATTCTGAATTAAAAGAAGTCATTGGTGTCTTTGTGGAAAAGATATTTACTTGCATCCTCTTCAGGGAGTAACATGAGAAGACTGATACAGTGATGGCCCAAATATACACTTCTTTTCTACTGCTTTAATAAGTTTGATTCATGCTACTACTCGTACAGGAAATACTGTTACATCTTTTGTGTGCATTTCCACTTAACAAAAAGCTCTTATTTTCTGTCATTCACACTCAAACTTCAGACACAACTAAAACAGTTTCTTTGAAGCAGTGCATGAGCGCAGTGATGGATGCACGCTTATTCAAATAGCTGGGTACTACAATAACAGGACCTTGAGGAAACTGTAGTTGTGATTTTGTGCTGTATAAATAAAATCGAATTGAAATTAAAGTGGATGCAGCTGATCTTTCAGAGTCTGTTGTAGCTCCTTGTTCTATTTTTTTGACTTTTGTCGTCTAAAGATAATTTTTCTCATGTAACATCAAAAAAATGGATCATGCGGTTTTATTTAAAAGCACTCAGTGACAAATTTGTGACACGCACAAGGTGTGCCAACTAGTTTCCTGCTTCTGTTATCATCTAACTCCTTCCAGGAACAGAGTTCAGCGTGTCTCGGCTTGGCGTCTTTACAGATAGCACCTGTTGTGTTTTGTTTTTTCAAACCACTACATTTATAACTAGAAACATTATTGAAGGCTTTTAAACATATCCTCTAAGAGATATGAACAATTAAAACATGTAAATGGAAAGAGTCAAGACAATTTTAAACATGAAGAACAAATGTTACACATGTTAGCCCAACTCACCGCACCTCAATCAAATCTTCATAGAACATGTAGTGAAGATTTGAATAACTTTGTTTCTTCTCCCACCAGCTGTTCACATGGTCATACCATGATCCGAAAACCCCTGAGGCCACAGAACAATACACAAAGTAATATTAGTAAGTATACAGACAGGAAATTAGATCGCATTGTGATTCTTTTACATTAAAACTAAACTGAACTCACTCTTTCCTTCCATGAAATCCTGCAGAAAGGTGCTCCATTCTCCTGCTTCTGGCTGAGCATTGTTCATCCGATTAAAGTGGTAAAAGGACACTGCATTGTCCTTTGGATTGCGGGCCACATATACTATCTACAGAAAGAGACAACACAATAATCTCAGGGTTTCATGAATTGCAAATTTCAATGGCTTCCAGGCAAGGCAAGCAGCTGTTTGGGGCCCCAAGTCAGTGGGAGCACTCACAGGGGTGACACACTTTAAACTAAAGCAGTGGCAATTCAGCAGAGAGAGTAAGATCGATCTGACCTCCCTAACGTTCCCTCACCTCGCTCCATTCATTCCTACTACAGCTTGAATCATTAAATTTGACAAAACCTAATGACAACAATCGAAGCTATTCATATAAAATCAAATATAAATATAATATAATCCAAAATAACTAAATGATGCTAACTTAGCCTCAACTATGGGGGAGAGTCCCAGCAGCATCACACCATTTTTTTTTTTTGCTTTCTCTGACACTAAAACCCAGTTTTCTCCACTGGCAGAGTAACCTGGTGTTTCCAGCTCTTCTGGCTATGATGTGACTGAACTGAGTGTGCGACTCTTTTATTGGTGTCACATTACTTATAACATAATTTATAAAATAACAGTGATAAATGCTTAGTTGGAAGGGCGTCCTGAGTCTTTTTGCATACATCTCCACTGCTGGCTGTGGGTGTTTGTGCATGGCTTTTACCCTGCTGCCCTGCTCCCAGAACGACTTGGGCATAAACTGGACTGGTAGATGACTCTTAATGAGACGAGGAGTGGTGGGAAGTTTGTCCGCCATTTCTGCACCTGAGTGATAAGAAGGATTAGTTTGCGATTGATAACATGCAACATTAGACTTATTTAGATAGCACAGAACAATAAAACCGATTGCCTAAAAAATTCTAAGGTATTTCTGAGATGTTCTGATTCACCTAACACATTTACACACTAATAAAACTGCTACATTTTAGGAGCTTTTACATTTTGTAGCTTCCTTTTCAGCATTTGGCAGAGAAAGATGCATGCAAACAAACAGAATGCAACAGGTTGAACCTGTTTTCAGCACAGTTTCTAGAAACTGGTGACTTGCAATAATCCTCTGAATGAACTGAGTACACGGACATAAACTTGGTACCTAGCGCTTTTTATTCTGGCGTATTTTAAATTCAGAGTGGCAACATAGTTCAACCTATAAGCATAGGTGGTACGCAGAGCTCCAGGAAGGGCACTCGTTCATGAAGAGGGAGGGATGTCTGACGGTCTGGACCCATGTGCCCAAAATACAGAAGATCTAGCATGTAAGAGACCCACGTGGTTCCTGCAGTTGAAATGAATAAATGTTGTTAAGCTGTAAACCTATCAACTCAGACACCAACAGGAAATTGTTTATGAAAAAAATGTATTATGATTACATAAGCTACACATGATTAAATAACACATCAGTACCTGCTTTAGGGTAAGTAGCAATGACAATATCATCTGGTCTTGCTTTGAAGTTCTGTATGTTATCCCAGTTGTCAGTGAAAATCTTGGTCATGGAGACTCCATGGAAGTCATATAGTTTTGGCCGAGGTTGCATCTCCATCTGTGGAAATTACTTGCCTTTAAAATCCTATATGGGTCACATTTTTTATACATTTTTCCTGCCTACATACTGTTCATTTCTCCCATTTTTAATTTACTCCATGACATCATATGTCGTGAAATGTACAAAATAATCTATTATTACTAATTAAATCTTAGATGGGACTTGAAAACATGTTTAAAACATGTTTATATGTGTGTGTGTGTGTGTGTGTGTGTGTGTGTGTGTGTGTGTGTGTGTGTGTGTGTGTGTGTGTAAATAAAAATACAGCATATTTATTGTTGGCAGCCAGTGATTATGAAGCTTTGATGGTCGCTTGCATGTATAAACGGAATCTCAGCAGTGACTCAGGCACTTAGTGAATGAGCTTAACATTTTCTTTGTAAAAGCTGAACTAACTTTAGCAGCATGTTAGAAAAATATATTTGTTTTCATTTACTGATATGCCAAATAAAAAGTTTTGCACATTTTAAAACGTGCACAGCTGACAGCTTGGTGTGTTTGTTCGTAAACATTACTTAAAGGACTCCACACTCACCCTGATGATTAGTATTACACTTGGGCTGGATCCGGATCTCCCAGAAGTCTGCTTGTTGCGTAACACTCGCTGTAGCACACACGCTGCACAGCGTCCTGAAATCTGCGTAGAATTACGCAGACTGTTGTACCCTTACATTCATACTGAGCCTGACAGTTCAAATATGAACACATGCACCAGTGATATAAAGTCACATGATTGGGGTTAAATAAGTTCATCCAAACTTGCCAGTAAAAATATCAAACAGGAAAAACAAGAAGTTTGATTGTTTTGTTGTGCTATGCATCCTGATACTGGTTTTCTGCCATGTTTTCGGCTCGCTGTTTTTTCTCAATCGCTGATTGGCTATAAATATTAACCAAATTTTGTATAAGGCTTGAAAAAGCAGAACAAGAGCTTTCTCTTTCCCTCCCCCCTCGCTCTCTCTCATCTCCACCAGCACCAGCGTTAATTTGCAGCTGCTGTTGCAGTGCTGGTTATTGTTACTTGGATCCGGATATCTTGTTTATGGTTTTGGTTCTTTTTGTTTAATTTTGCTAATAGTAGTTTGGGGATTAATGTAGAATCCCGATCGCCAAGTGTCTGGTTGGTTGATGATCTTTCCCTTTTGTTTGTTTATGCCCCAGCCTCCCATCTCGGTCTTTTTATGTAATTATTTTTCTACTATTAAATATTTGTTGAACTATAAAAGCGCGCTGGCATCTCATATGTTAGGTCCCCCTGAGCCATGGCTTCAGGGATCATAACATGTTGCACGAAAGATAAAATACAATAATGACTGGGATAAAATGTAAATATATATATCACCAATCAACACAGCCACGAGGGGGCCACAAGCCAGAGTACTCCCAGTGCCGGTGTTCCCCGTCACAAATTGCACCCCCATCTTCGGTCGGGAAGGGCATCCGGCGTAAAACCTTTGCCAAATCAAACATGATGATCATCAATTATGAGATTTCCATACCGGATCGGTCGGGCCCAGGTTAACGACGACCACTTCCAGTGGTGTTGGTTACCAGGGTGCCGGCGGAAGCTATGTTACTATTGACCGAAGACAAAGGAAGAGCAGAGGGGGAAGGCGTGTTCAGAGGCAGCGAGAGAAAGAGAGGCAGGAATGCGGAGATGAAAGTAGGGACTTTAAATGTCGGGACTATAACTGGTTAAGGAAGAGAGCTGGATGATGTGATGGAGAGAAGGAAGGTAGATACTGTGTGCACAGGAGACCAGATGGAATCAAGGCGAGGAGCACTGGAGGTGGATTCAAGCTGCTCTACCATGGTGTAGATAGGAAGAGAAATGGAGTAGGAGTAATGTTGAAGGAAGAGTACATGAATAGTGTTGCAGAGGAGAAGAAGAAAGTGTCAGACAGGATCATAAGTTTGAAGCTGGAAATTGAAGGCATGATGTTGAATGTTGTCAATGTGTATGCCTCACAGGCTGGATGATAGAAGAGAAAGAGGAATTCTGGAGTACGCTGGATGACTAAGCTTGATAACTGGAGCAGACGTCAATGGATATGTAAGTGAAGAGAGCAGGGGTAAAGAGAATGACAGATGGTGGCGGATATTGTGAAAAGGAAGGAAATGGCTATGGTAAACACATATTTCAGTAAGAGGGAGGGACACGGGATAACATATAAGAGTGGACACAGACTATATCGTAAGCATAAGGTGAAATCTGAAAGAGAAAGCTGTCTGCAAGGTGGTGACAAGGATAATGTAGCTAGGCAGTACTGGATATGGAAATTAAGATAAGGAAGCAAGTGAAGGTCAGAGGCAAGGGTGTTGAAGAAGAAGGAATGTTGTGCAGAGTTCAGGGAGGAGTTGAGACAGGCTCTGGGTAGTAGAGAAGAGTTATCACATAACTGGGAAAGGACAGCTGAAGTTTTAAGGACAGAAGAAAGAAGGCAAGGACACTTGGTGGAGGAATGAAGACGTTCAGGAAAGTATTCAAAGGTAGAGTTTAATGAAGCAAAAATGGGGTAAGTATAGAGATGAAGAAAGTAGTCAGGAGTACTGGGAGGCTAAGTGTATGGTTAAAGTGAGAAAAGGGGGAGAGAGGTGACAAAGGAAAAGAAAGAGGCCTGTAGCGAGCTGTAAGTGAGACTGGACAGGCAAAGAGATTGAACTGGAAAGGATGTGCAGCGGGTTAGGTTGATTAAGGATAGAGATGGAAATGTACTACTGAGTTAAGCTAGTGTGCTGAGAAGATGGAAGGAGGATTTTGAGGAGCTTCCAAAGGATAAGTCAGGAGGAAGTGAGGGCAGCACTGAAAAAGAATGAAAAGTGGAAAGGCAGGTGGTCCAGATGACATACCTGTGGAGGTGTGGAGAAGTCTAGGACTTTTTAATCAGATTGTTTAACAAATATCTTGGAGAATGAGAGTCACTTGAGGAATGGAGCAGAAGTGTACTTTACCACTTTTAAAGCACAAAGGTGATGTGCAGAGCTGTAGTAACTACAGAGAGATAAAGTTAATGAGTCATAGCATTAAGATATGTGAAATAACTGTGAATCTAAGTCAAGAACAAAGGAGATGATCAATGAGCAGCTATATGGCTTCATGCTGAGACAGAGCACTGCAGATGTTTCTCTTCAGGGTGTTGATAGAGAAGTGTAGAAAAACATGCAGAAGGACTTTCACTGTGTCTTTATGGATCTGGAAACAGCATTTAATATGGTGCCAAGAGAGGAACTGTGGTACTAAATGAGAAAGTCAGGAGTGACAGAGAAGTATGTGACATTTATGAGGACATTGAGATAGTAGTGAGCAGTGGAGCTGGAGTGACAGTTAGGATTAAGGCAGGGGTGGGATTACATCAGGGATCACCTCTCAGTCCCTTCTTGTTTGTAGTGGTCATGGGACTGAAAGCTGAACTGCTGACAGATGAGGTTATATGTGAGTCTTCATGGACTATGATATGATCTGTAGGGAGAATAGGGAGGAGGTAGAAGAGAGCCTGGGGGAGGTGAAGGTATGCTCTGGAGAGAAGAGGAAATATAGTCAACAGAAGCAACCAGTAGAATACTGTGAATGAGAGGGAGACACGTGGGCAAGTTTAAATACATGGGGTCAATCATCCAAAGGAAAAGATGGTATAAAGAGAGATGAAGAGTTTCACAGGTGATTTGTGACAGAAGGATAACAACAAGACTATGATGTATAGTTTGATGTTAGTGGCATCACAAAAAGAAGATTTGAGGCTGTGGTTGGTTAGAGAGGAAAAGCTGAGATTCTTTGGATATGTGCAGAGGAGGGATAGTGGATATGTTGGGCAGAGGATGTTGAATGTGAAGCTGGGCAGGGCAGGATGAAAAGAGGAAGACCACAGAGAGGATTCATGGATGTTGAGAAGGAGGACATTGCTACAGTTCTACTTCGTAGAAAGACAAAGCTTCGTCATAAGTTCACCGTATGTCTCGAGAGAAAGTTAAGCTCGATGGTTAAAGTTTAATTTCAGTCACAATCATTGTTTATGGTCTGATTTATGTCTATGAGCATAACATTGTGGATACATGGCCTCCACTAAGTCTTTATGTTATATAGTTGTATAGTTATGTTGATAAAATTAAAAATGTATTCCTTGACACAAATATCACATCAGAGCTCCATCATGCCCATCCATATTTCATAAAGACACAGTCTGTGTATTTCTTGTTCAGAGCCCTGTTCATATTAAAGAGTTTCATCATCAAAAGGCTGTGGCCCAAGTAGAAGAGACATACTGGTGATTTTTTTTAAATTCTTTATTATTCTGGTTAAACCTCAGTGTCAATGAATTGTTTTTCATGTTTTGTTATTTATATGCATCTGCATCACAGTGGAAGAAAATTACATAAATCAAGTATAACATTTGATTTTTCTTAACTTACATCAGATCAGAACTCCATCATGCCCAGCTGGGGCTTTAAATTTCACAGCGAAACTTTAAATCAGGATTCTTCATCTTCTTCTTGTAGTCTTCATCAAACTGCTCATTCTGGGCCACAGTGAAGTGGTTCTTCCAGTCACCAACTTTCCCTGGAGAAGGAGAACATTCAGAGTATTTGATTAACCTAATGATAAATGGAGCACACACTGATATAGATATAGAGGAAAAAAAATGTTGCCCAGCAGGAAGCTGTACCTTTTCTCATGAAAGGAGACACCTTGTGGTTCATCACTGGAACTGAAGTATAGTTGGTCATCTTGTTTTGTTTCATGCTGTCAAACGTCACACTGGCTCTGACTCTTTCCTTCTCTTCAGGTGATGGAGACAAACCAAGGAAGGAACACAGTCGGTCTATTTCTTGCTCAGAGTCCTGTTCACATTAAAATTAGATATGATTTTTTTCTACCCTTTTGTGTTTCCTAAATTTCAGAACCTTTAGATTAGCATGCAATAAATTAATTTACTTTATCTGTGGTTTAGTAATGTTGATAATAGATAAATACTCACTTGTAGCACATTCATAAATGTTTAAACTTTTGGTAATAAGTCTACAAGGTTTACAACAAATCATTGATCCAATACAGTCCACACAGACGGTTAGCATCTCAGGCTAAAAACTGATATGTTGCCAGGAACACAAGAGGAAAAATCTTGCTGGCTGACTGGCCAGGTCCCACATTTTAGTGTGCATATGTGTATGCTGAGTGGGGATTTCCCCTTCACATAGCAGAGATGTTTGCTGGATGAGGATTTGGTGGAAAATAGTGTGTTCTCTATTTGTTACTTATGCATCAAAAAGGATTCAATTAACAAAATATACTGGACATGGTTTAGAGAAATTTTTGCAATCAGTGAATTTCAGAGATACCAAACATTATAAAGTCTTCACGAGTCATAGTTTTTTTCTTTGTACACCCATCTGCAGCTCTGGCTGGCTTTTCTTGCACTGTGGAATTAAAATGCACACCACCCAGTGCTCGAAGAACGAATAAAATACAGCCTGGTTTGAGAAATATTACCACGTATCATCAGAAAAATGTAGTAATTGGATTAGAATATTGATGCATGTCATTTTTAGACAGTATTTCTGAGTTGAACTGAGAGTTTGGTTTGGCATCTTCTAAAAGGCGCGTGATGATTAAACAAAGTGTTAGAGCTCAGTTGGAAATGGTACACATGTTAGCCCAGCTCACCTCAATCAAATCTTCATAGAACATGTAGTGGAGATTTGAATAACTTTGCTTCTTCTCCCACCAGTCGTTCACATGGTCATACCAGGATCCAAAAACCCCTGAAGCCACAGAACAATACACAAAGGAATGTTTATACAGGAAATGAAATAGTGTGGTCTCTTTGCTGTAAAACTACACTGAACTCACTCTTTCCCTCCATGAAACCCTGCAGATAGCTGCTCCAGTCTCCTGGTTCTGGCTGGATAAGGTTCATGCGGTCAAAGTGGAAATAGGACACTGCATTGTCCTTTGCATTGCGGGCCACATAGACCACCTACAGAAAGAGATCAAACTAATTTATGGTCTGGGAGTTTCATAAATCACATATCTGTGTGGCTATGGGTGTATGTGCAAGACCTTGCAGCGCTGCTCCCAGAAGGACTTTGGTACAAACTGGACTGGTAGATGAGTTTTAATGAGACGAGGAGTGGTGGGAAGCTTGTCTGCCAGGTCTGCACCTGAATTATCAGGAGGATTAGATACCACAGGTTAATATACTAAACATTGTAATTGTCTGATGTATTTTAAAGTGACAGTGGACACGTGATTCAACCTGAAGGTATAGGAGGTAGACAGAACTCCAGGAAGGGAACTCTTTCATGAATAGGGATGGATGTCTGACGGTCTGGACCCATATCGCTAAAATACAGAAGATCTAAGATGTAAGAGACCCATGTAGTTCCTGAGGTTGAAATGGACAAAATGTTTTATGTTTAGCTGTAAACATACAGTGGCTTCCAAAAGTATTTGGCCCCCTTGAACTTTTCCACATTTTGTCACATTACAGCCACAAACATGAATCAATTTTATTGGAATTCCGCGTGAAAGACCAACACAAAGTGGTGCACACGTGAGAAGAGGAACGAAAATCATACATGATTCCAAACATTTTTTACAAATAAATAACTGAAAAGTGGGGTGTGTGCACACACAAAAAAATACTATGATTGCATAAGCTCCATACTTTTATATACAGATCAGTACCTGCTTTAGGGTAAGTTGCGATAAGAATATCATCCGGTCTTGCTTTGAAGTTCTGTACATTGTCCCAATTGTCAGTGAAGATGTTGGTCATGGAGACTCCATTGAAGTCAAACAGTTGTGGGCGAGGTGGCAGCTCCATCTATGAGAATGATTTGTCCTTAAAATCAAAGTGTATGTCGTGTTTTCTCCAGTCCTTACTTGTGCAACAACATAAAGCTATGCTTAAAACATTTTTAACAACTGCATAGGCTGACTTCTCCCCCCAGAGATCAGAAGTGATATTTTTAACTTCCATCGGTCTAGAAAACATGATGCTTTTTTGTTCCATAAGAGAGGCACTGGAAGTAAAAAAAAAAAAAAAAGGTCATTGGGAACTGTCCACATTTAAAAAACTGTTTGTGGGTCTTTGATTGAAATAACAGATTATCTGCTAAAGTAAATCTTTAAATCTGTATTATTTTTAACGGCCAGCAGAGGGAGGTTTTTGGCAGAAAGTGGCACGATAGCACAGAAGTGTCAAAGAAAATCACTCTAATCCTAATATATGCCTTCATTTAACACTTTATGTTATAAAAAAAAAAAATTTAAACAGTATATGCTTCATGCTGTGGACTATTGACTGATTATCATCATGCAGTGGCAGATGTAGCTCTAGCTTGTGACCTCAGGTTCATCATCAGAGGTGATGAACAAAATGCTAAACTGGAATTTGCATGTTAAAGGCACCTCTGATATACATTTAATGGCTGTGATTCAGTTTAAAGATCAGTTTAAGGATCAGAATCACATCCAGTTTCTCGTTTTAATAACAGATCTCATAATCTGATAAAGTGTAAATCCCAGTGTTAGAGTTTGCTAATCTAAGATTCTGGAGCTGCTGTTTCTGCTTGATCCTGCACCACTAATCAGCTCTACAGTAATTATACCTGTAAGTTCACCAACACCACCTTTGCCACTTTAACCTTTGTGACTGCAGTGTTACTGCTTTTTAGTTTTTATGTTTTTACTAGGACTGCTCCTGCCTCAGCCTTCTGTTGGTTTGCTCACGTGGTTTTGTGTTGCTTTAAACTAACTTAACATTATTTTGAAATTGTGAATATTGGGCATATTGACATGATGCAAGATGGTATAACGAGTCATCAGTAAAATTAAACTAGTAATTGCAATAAAAAAAAAAATCAGTAGTTAATGTAATAATAATTATTAATTAGTTGATGATTTTAGGGTTAACAGAGATTTATAAAAAATAATAAATAAATAATAAATAACAGCTTGCCATACAACCAGAGGTCAAAGTACACACTGCAGCATTGGTAAAACTGAGAAACACAAGAATTACAACATTTTCCTTTCAGCTGTGTTCACCAACCACACTAAGCAAGACACATGGTGAAATTTAAAGAATAACTTAATTAATATTCAAATTAAATTAAAAAAAAGAGATAATAAACATTTATATTTATTTTGTTTTCTAGATAAAATAACTTGTATATAAAGTAAAAACCACAGATTTATTGTTGGGGACTAAACATTCTGAAGCTTGCTTACCTTCTTGCGTTACTCCTGCTGACTGACATAATCTTGAAATTGTGAACAAGAGGCGTGACTCGCCGGTTTAACCATTAATTTCAGCAATGACTCAGACATATAGTGAGTGAGCATGAAGTTAGAAAAGTTTGATTTTTCTGGCCATTTACGCCAAACAAAAACAAAAAAGCACCACAGTTTTAAAAGATACACATCTTTCAGTCTAGCATGTTTGTTCTAGTGAATATTACTTGATGTACTACACACTCACCAAGCTGAGTATTTCTGTACTGCGGTTGGGTCTGGATCTTCCAGAAGAAAGAAATCTGTTTGTTGCACAACGTTCACTTAAACACACTGCACAACTTCCTTAAATGTGTGTCTGTGAGTATTGCTGTTCAAACATGAACACAATAGTATACAGTGAGATCAGACCAAAGAAAAAAGCAACCAAACCTGTATGAGTGCACAGGTCTTATGAAAGGCAACACAGTCTGGTTCATTGTTTGGAAGGTGGAGTAGTCGGTCATTTTGTTTTGATTTATATTGTCTAAGGTCACACCGGCTCTGGCTGTTTTCTTTTTCTTCAGCTTATGGAGACAAATCAAGGAAGGAACACAGTCCGCCTATTCTTTCGCCACAGTCCCGTTCACATTGAAAAGTTTCAGCATCAGCCTTGTTTTGAAGAAGTGCAAGAGAGGTTTTCATTATATTTTAAAAGGCTGTATGTAATTATTCTGAACATCCCAACATAACAATAAGAAGATGAGAAGACTGAGAATGCTAGCTCTCTTGGTCTATGTGGCCCGCAATGCAAAGCACTCTTTTCTACTTCTTTTGCTTGATTCATACCAGGTCTGTGTGTTGTGTCTATATTTACAACTCTATTTACCATATACCTTTTTATTCTTTATTTGTTACTGAATGGTTAGTGCAAAAACAGCAAAACGAATGTCAGTTAAATTGTGGTTAATTCTGATGATCCATACATATATTTTTATTTATTTGTTGGGACATGCACACATCTGTTCAATGCTCCATCATGCCTAGCTGGGCTTTTTAATGCCAGACCCAGTAGTATAAATTCAGATAAACCAGATTAAATCTGTTAATTCAATGCTATCAGCAAAAATCGCAAACAGTTTTGGTTATTTTGTTGCACAAAACATTAAACACACTACTGAACAGCATGCTATCCAAGGATAATAACAATAACAGACATTTTTGCATCTCTTTGAATACAATCAAAATGGGAGCATATCAAATAAAAAAATCTAATTAATTTCAGTTAATACGTTATTTGGCACCATGGTTGTGTGTTGGTTAGCACTGTTGCCTCACCCTATGATAGCTGAGATGGGCTCGAGTCGCCACACAACCTTGAACTGGATAAGCATTATAATATAGGAATACTAATACTACAATAGGGATACTAATTAATCTGTCTCAACACTTGATTTATCCTCAACTAGTTAACTTCAGAGCTCCATCACGCTCAGCCAGGGCTCTAAATTTCACAGCGAAACTTTAGATCAGGATTCTTCATCTTCTTCTTGTAGTCTTCATCAAACTGCTCATTCTGAGCCACAGTGAAGTGGTTCTTCCAGTCACCAACTTTCCCTGGAGAAAGAGAACATTCAGAGTGTTTGATCAATCCCACAGTCATACTTGTCCTGTACGCTCATGCTCCACGACACACCCACCTAACACTCCTTCAACATTAAGTGTTTGTGTGTGTCATGTGTCATTAGTGGGTGAAAGTGAGTGAGTAAATGGTCTGTGTGTGTGTGTGTGTGTGTGTGTGTGTGTGTGTGTGTGTGTGTGTGTGTGTGTGGCTGGGGCTGGGGCTGGCACCACAGTTCATTTAGATCACAATTCTGATCACAAAAGCTGCCAGACGGGACAGGGTGTAAGAAAAAGTGTATTTGATCAGCACTACTGGACTGCGCAAATACTGTGAAACAAATGTTGCCCAGCAGGCAGTTGTACCTTTTCTCATGAAAGGAGACACCTCTTGGTTCATCACAGGAACTGTGGAATAGTTGGTCATGTTGTTCTGTTTCATATTATCAAAGGTCACACTGACTCGGACTCTTTCCTTCTCCTCAGCAGAAGGAGACACACCAAGGAAGGAACACAGTCGCTCTATTTCTTTTTCATAGTCCTGTTAACATCAATATTGAAAATATGAATAAGTTTAGAAGGGACAGTTCACTCCAACATGGAATGTATGTTTTTTTTTCTTCTGCTCTCTAGTGCTATTTATTCATAGCACTAGGGAAAATATAAATTGACATGTGAAAACACATTTTAGTTGTCTGTGTCTTTGTTCATTCTCTGTGACTTTTCAATTTAAAGACGTCAGACTTTGACCATTCTTTGTATTTTATTTATTATTATTAAACCTCGGATCTGAGGTTTTCTTTTTTTGCAGTTTATGCATCAGAAACAATTCAGCGAACTACAGTTTTCAGACATAACCCAATCTTTGCCAGATCAAATATGCAGATTTTCAAAATTAAGATTTCCATACCAAACAGGTCAGGGGCTGGGTTAACAATAAACGCCTATCGATTGGTTAGGCGGGCGGTTAAGGATAGAGACAGAAATGTATTAACAAGTGAGGAGAATATGCTGAGTTAATGAATGAGGAGAAGAGAGGAAGGAGATTGGATTGAGGACTTATAGTGAATCAGGACATGCAGAAGAAGTAGTGCATCTATGAAGTGGATGAAGAGTGGAAAGGCAGGTGGTCCAGATGACATACCTGTGGAGGTATGGAGATGTCTACAAGAGAGAGGAGTGGACTTTTTAATCAAATTGTTTAACATCCTGGAGAATGAGAGTTGCCTGAGAAATGGAGAAGATGTGTTTTCAAGAACAAAGGGATGTACAGAGCTGTGGTAACTACAGAGGGATAAAGTTAATGATCCATAGCATGAACATATGGGAAAGAGTGACTGAAGCTAGATTAAGAAGAGAGGTGGCGATCAACGAGCAGCAGTGAGAGCAGCAGACAGAGCACTACAGATGTAATGTTTGCTTGGAGAGTGTAGAGAAGGTCAAAAGTAGTTGCTCTGTATCTTTGTGGATGTGGAGAGGGCATATGTGGGAGACAAGAGAGGAACTGTGGTACTCTATGAGGAATTCAGGGGAGTAGTTTGTGAGGGTGGTGCACAACATTTATGAGGACAGTAAGTCGGTCAGTAGGTGTGAGAAATAGGTTCAAGATGCAAATTATTTCAGGGACTGACTTTGTGCCACTTTTTGTTTGCAATGGATGACACAGTGGATCATCTCCCCTATCCCTAGCATCCTCCTCTATCATACACATATGTCCTCTTTTACTAAATCCATGAATACTCTTTCTGGTTTTCACATTTTCCTCCTGCCTTGCAGCCTCATATTTAACATCCTTTGTTATATGATAATTTTAAATATTAAGATCTCTGTCAAAAATGGCACACATGTTAGCCAAACTTACTGTACCTCAATCAAATCTTCATAGAACATGTAGTGAAAATTTGAATGAGTTTGTTTCTTCTCCCACCAGCCGTTCACATGGTCATACCACGATCCAAAAACCTCTGCAGACACAGAACAACACACAAAGGAATGTTTATACAGGAAATGTGATAATATGTTTTGTCCTTAACACTAAAAATAAATTAAACTCACTCTTTCCCTCCATGAAGTCCTGCAGGAAGGTGCTCCAGTCTCCTGGTTCTGGCATGCCACTGTTCATGCGTTCAAAGTGAAAATAGGACACTGCATTGTCTTTTGCATTGCGGGCCACATAGACCACCTACAAAAAGAGGAAACGCTGAATTATACTCTGTGGGTTTCATAAATCCCATGTCTCTATGACTACAGGTATGTGTGCTTTTACCCTGCAGCGCTGCTCCCAGAAAGACTTTGGTACAAACTGGACAGGAAGGTGGGTTTTAATGAGACGAGGAGTGGTGGGAAGTTTGTCTGCCAAATCGGTACCTGAGTAAGGTAGAGATAAGAAGGAACCGTTTGCAACAGAACATGCAAAGATAGATTTCTTTATAGACCACAGATCAACAACATGAATTGCCCAAACATTGTGTTTTTGAGGTGCTATGACTAACTTAACAGATTTACACACCAATAAAACTGCCAGAACCATCACAAAGCTATTGAACAAGGCTGTATTTGTAGTTGTAACTATTTGTAACCTGATTCAGAATGTTTTTTGAATTTCCTTTTGACTGAACAGTTCTAATGACAAATAAGTACCAAAGTGAAATTAGGACATTGAGCTTTTGGATCTGGTCTAATACAAATATGGCTAATTGAAGGTGGTCACAAGATTCAACCTGAAGGTAGAAAAGGTACGTAGAGCTCCAGAAAGGGCACTCTGTCATGAAGGGGGATGGATGTCTGACGAGCTGGACCCATGTGCCCAAAATACAGAAGATCTATGATGTAAGAGACCCATGTGGTTCCTGGGTGCGAAACAGATAAATGCATATTGTTTGGTGTGATATCAGCACATGATGATATAAGCCCCATAATCCAAATGAACACAGTCAGATAGCATCCTTATAGTGTCTTTCAGCCAATGCACACTGTAAAGTCGGAAACCTATTAACTTGCACGTTAACATTAAAATGGGAAAATGTTATTTAAAAAGCACTAACAATTTTATAACCTAAGTAAGTAAGTAACTAACTAACAAACCTGCTTTAGGGTACGTAGCGATAACAATATCATCTGGTCTTGCTTTGAAGTTCTGTACGTTGTCCCAGTTGTCAGTGAAAGGGTTGGTCATGGAGACTCCATGGAAGTCAAACAGTTCTGGCCGACGTAGCTCCTCCATCTGTGAGAATTACTTGTTTTTAAAATGAAGTTGTCTTTCATGTTTTCCCCATCCTTCTGTTACTTACACAGTAACTTATGTTTTGCAACCTCTGGTTTTTAAAACCAGAGTTGATGACTATGCTGAAACTAGAAGTTTCATCGGGACTCTTTCGGTCACACACTGTTGCAGCTCATCTGTGATTTAAAGTCATGGAAGAATCCAGGTGCGTGATTTGGTTTCTTCTTTTAATAAGAGATCTGATGAAGGTCTGCATTAATCTATTAATTCAACATTCTGGAGTTGCTGTCTCTGCTGTTTGTTTGGTTGTTGTTTCCAGGTTTAGTGAAGACGATTTGTTCCTGCACCACTAATAAGTCCTACTGAAATTATACCTCTAACTTACCATCATCACCTTTGCCAGTTTAACCTTTGCAACTGTAGTGTTTTCTTTTTTATGAGAGCATTTATGTTTTTAGTATTCACTTTCTGATTGCAGTTTGGACCTTGTCTGTCTGGATTCTGCCTGAGCTTTGTGTTGCTCACCATGTTTTTTTGTTTGTTGTACTAGCTTAATAAAACTCTGAATAATATTAACATTGCTCTGTGAATATCGGTCATGTTAGTCACAAAGAGGTTCATTCAAGTAAGTGCAAAAACAGTCAGCTGACAGTACATGATAAAAAACAAGATGCAGTCCAGCATTGGTAGAATCAGGAAACACCAGAATTACAACATTTCCCCTCCAGCTGAGTTCTCTAACCACAATGAATAAGACACATTTATTTCATTCATTACATTTTAGTGTTTGAGTATTTAAAACAAGGACATTTTAATGCAAACAAAAGTATTTTTGTAAAGTAAAGGCAGAGATTTAATGTTGGTAACACATGATTACAAAGCTTGCTTACCATCTAGGATCACTCCTACCAACTAACGTAATCCTGAAATTGTGAAGAGGGCACGTGACTCGACGGTTTAATCGTTAATTTCAGCAATGACTCAGACCTAAAGTGAAGGAGTTCAGTATTTGCTCAGTATATTTGGACCAAACTTTAGAAGGATAAGGTTAGAAGTTAGAAAAATAACATTTTTATTACTGTTCATTAACATGTCAAATGAAAAAGCAAAAATGCAGCACATTTAAAACATATACATCAGACAGCATGGCATGTGTATTCTGTTGAATATTGTTCAGTCACGTGTAAGCATTTTTTGTCTTCCAAACAAAAGACCATTGTTATTCACTGGAACACACCGCACCATTTTCTGAAATGTGTGCATTTATACTGATCCAGTGCTATGAAGTCAGATAAGCTAGGTTCATTCAACTCGACCAAAATAAATAAATCAATAATGAACAGGGTGCAGGCTGGATTGATTGTTTTGCTGTACAAAAGAGTAAACACAGCAATAACCTGCACATCGATGACAGAAGAATAAAAACACAAGTCTTTTAACAGAATTAAAACGGCTGTGTTTAATAAAAATGAAATCCAACATACAACAGCAGCCTACTATCTCTACACAGCTGAGAGCTGCTTGCCATAACTGTGTGAATGTAAAAAGTTTTCTGCTTCTCTTTCTTGATTTATACCAGACCTATGATTCTATATAGGCAACATTCCCACATTACACTTTATGTGTGGCCAAATTATTAAGTACTGGAACATATTCATTTGAGAAATAAACAAAGTTTAGTTTATTCAGGTAGTGTAGTTTTTAAGTTGAGGATAAATGTTTTTTAAGCTGGGAAATTACACAGAATGAACTCTGGTTCCTGTGTGGATTCGCTCCTGGTACTCCAGCTTCTTCCCACCGTCATGCCCAGCTGGGTCTCTTAATTTCAAACCCAGTAGCATAAAGTCAGACAAACTAACCATTAACAATCAGTTAGTTAAATATGTTCAGTAAAAATGACACATGTTCCTTCATCCTCCTTTTTCTTAACCTCCTAAGACCCAAACTCTTTCATGGCATGCATTTTTAATTTCTCTTTGCTATTTGGGCTGATTGGGACCTGATGAATGTAAAAACAAAGGATTAGCTGATTTTTTTTTTTTTTTACCTGATTTTTGTTTTTGAGAAAAATGGGATCCTCATAAGAGGACATTCATTTTAAATTTCAATAGAACAGTGGCAGTATAATGTCCTCATTAGTAGATATCAGGCCCTTTGTAGAGCAAAATTTAGTAGTTTGGTCTCCACAACCCGAAATGTGATGTCCACAAATGTGGATGCCAGGTCCTGGGAGGTTAAGCTGATACAGTGGGGCAAAAAAGTATTTAGTCAGCCACCGATTGTGCAAGTTTCCCCACTTAAAATGATGACAGAGGTCAGTAATTTGCACCAGAGGTACACTTCAACTGTGAGAGACAGAATGTGAAAAAAAAATCCATGAATTCACATGGTAGGATTTGTAAAGAATTTATTCGTAAATTAGGGTGGAAAATAAGTATTTGGTCACCTCAAACATGGAAAATCTCTGGCTCTCACAGACCTGTAACGTCTTCTGTAAGAAGCTTTTCTGTCCCCCACTCGTTACCTGTATGAATGGCACCTGTTTGAACTCATCATCTGTTTAAAAGACACCTGTCCACAGCCTCAAACAGTCAGACTCCAAACTCCGCCATGGCCAAGACCAAAGAGCTTTCGAAGGACACCAGGAAAAGCATTGTAGACCTGCACCAGACTGGGAAGAGTGAATCTACAATAGGCAAGCAGCTTGGTGTGAAAAAATCAACTGTGGGAGCAATCATCAGAAAATGGAAGACATACAAGACCACTGATAATCTCCCTCGATCTGGGGCTCCACGCAAGATTGATTGATTGATTGATTGGTAATTTATTTCAACATGTGAACAATATACAAGTACATTTAGAAAAGAAATAAGAGAGAAAAAAAATATACTATACAAATTACATACAAAAAAACATTCTGATTAATTTACATGTTGAAAGGGAGTGGGAAGAAGTATACACTTATTTAATCCCACCCCTGTCCCATAAATTATCAGTGAATATTTAGTCAGCTTCCTTACTGATATAATTTGTAATAAAAATAGTGAACAGATTTCTGATATACTATATACTATAATATCACATCATGAATTTTTTGTTTGTTTGTTTTTAAATAGAGACATTCACTTAATTTAAATATTTTCCTTTTCTTTATAGATCGAGAAGATCATATTTTTATAACTTTTTTTGAACAGTTTTATGTTTGGACATTGCTTTAATTCCATATTCAGTTTGTTCCATAGTTTCACTCCTTGAACAGAAACACAAAAGCTTTTTCTTGTAGTACGTACCTTCATTGTTTTGAAGTTACAAAACCCCCTTAAATTATAACTTCCTTCTTTCAAAAAAAACATACTCTGAATATTACCTGGCAGTTCTTTATTTTTTGCTTTGAATAGAATTTGTGCTGTTTGGAATTTCACTATGTCGTCAATTTTCAATATTTCAGACTGCAAAAATAGTGAGTTTGTATGTTCCCTATAACCTGCATTGTGGATGATTCGAATTGCTTTCTTTTGAAGAGTAAAAAGTGAATGTAATGTGGTTTTATAGTTATTGCCCCAGACCTCTGCACAATAGCTTAAGTATGGTGAAACCAGTGAACAGTAGAGAATATGAAGTGATGTTCTGTCGAATACCTGTTTTGCCTTGTTTAGTACTGCAATGCTTCGTGATACTTTGGAATGAATATATCTTACGTGAGCTCTCCAGTTAAGTTTTTCATCTATTATTACCCCCAGAAATTTGTTTTCACTGACTCTTTCAATATCAACACCATTTATTTGAATCTTTGCATTTGTATTTAAACTACTATTTCCAAATAACATCAGTTTTTAGATTTATTCAAATGTAATGATAATTTGTTTTTATCAAGCCAGAACTTCACTTTACTTATTTCATTAGTCATATCCTCCAATAAATTCTGCAGATCATCACCAGAGCAAAAAAATGTTTGTATCGTCAGCAAAGAGAACCATTTTTAATACTTTGGACACTTTACAGATGTCGTTAATGTACAAGTTGAAGAATTTTGGACCCAAAACTGACCCTTGGGGTACACCACAAGCAATGTCCATACATAAGGAGCAACCACCATTTATTTTCACAAACTGCTTTCTGTCATTTAAATAACTCCGGACCCAATTTAAAACTACCCCTCTGACACCATAACGTTCCAGTTTTCTTATTAATATATCATGATCTATAGTGTCAAATGCCTTTGTCAAGTCTATGAATAACCCGTGGGGTCAAAATGATCATGAGAATGGTGAATGGTGAGCAAAGATCCCAGAACCACACGGGGGGACCTGGTGAATGACCTGCAGAGAGCTGGGACCAAAGTAACAAAGGTCACCATCAGTAACACACTACAACGGCAGGGAATCAAATCCTGCAGTGCCAGACGTGTTCCGCTGCTGAAGCCAGTGCATGTCCAGGCCCGTCTGAAGTTTGCCAGAGAGCACATGGATGATACAGCAGAGGATTGGGAGAATGTCATGTGGTCAGATGAAACCAAAGTAGAACTTTTTGGTATAAACTCAACTCGTCGTGTTTGGAGGAAGAAGAATACTGAGTTGCATCCCAAGAACACCATACCTACTGTGAAGCATGGGGGTGGAAACATCATGCTATGGGGCTGTTTTTCTGCCAAGGGACAGGACGACTGATCCGTGTTAAGGACAGAATGAATGGGGCCATGTATCGTGAGATTTTGAGCCAAAACCTCCTTCCATCAGTGAGAACTTTGAAGATGAAACGAGGCTGGGTCTTCCAACATGACAATGATCCAAAACACACCGCCCGGGCAACAAAGGAGTGGCTCCGTAAGAAGCATTTGAAAGTCCTGGAGTGGCCTAGCCAGTCTCCAGACCTCAACCCCATAGAAAATCTGTGGCGGGAGTTGAAAGTCCGTGTTGCTCGGCGACAGCCCCAAAACATCACTGCTCTCGAGAAGATCTGCATGGAGGAATGGGCCAAAATACCAGCTACTGTGTGTGCAAACCTGGTAAAGACTTATAGTAAACGTTTGACCTCTGTTATTGCCAACAAAGGTTATGTTACAAAGTATTGAGTTGTATTTTGTTATTGACCAAATACTTATTTTCCACCCTGATTTACGAATAAATTCTTTACAAATCCTACCATGTGGATTCATGGATTTTTTTTTTTTCACATTCTGTGTCTCACAGTTGAAGTGTACCTCTGGTGCAAATTACTGACCTCTGTCATCATTTTAGGTGGGGGAACTTGCACAATCAGTGGCTGACTAAATACTTTTTTGCCCCACTGTAGATAGCCAACAGCACCACAATGTAAGAGAATTCAGTTGTTCAGGCTTAATATTTGATTTATTCTTAACTATTTAATTGCATATCACTTCTCAGCTCTAGCCCCCTCTTTGAATTTCACAGCGAAACTTCAAATCAGGATTCTTCATCTTCTTCTTGTAGTCTTCATCAAACTGCTCATTCTGAGCCACAGTGAAGTGGTTCTTCCAGTCACCAACTTTTCCTGGAGAAGGAGAACATTCAAAGTATTTGATTATCCTAATAATAAACTGAACATATATTGGTGCCTATACTGAGAAAAAACTAAAATTTCCCAGCAGGCAGTTGTACCTTTTCTCATAAAAGGAGAAACCTCGTGGTTCAGCTTGCGAGCTGTGGAATAGTTGGTCATCTTGTTTTGCTTCATGCTGTCAAATGTCACACTGGCTCTGATTCTTTCCTTCTCTTCAGCTGATGGAGACAAACCAAGGAAGGAACAGTCGGTCTATTTCTTTTTCATAGTCCTGTTCACATAAATGAAAATATGAATGAGTTTAAAAGAGATGTTTCATCTCTAAATTTTATTAATTTTTCTTCTTTTGGTCTGTAGTAAATTTGGTGTAAGAATCTCTCCTTGGGAGATATTAGGATTTTACAGACTTCTCTTTCAATATGTGACAATTTTGATTTTGATTTTTTTTTTTTATGCATCTTAAAATTTTAAACCTTCGAGATTAACAAAAAAACACACATTTCATTTATGAGTTTCTTTATTTTCTATGAATTTTCAAATTGAAGATGTCAAATTTGATCTTTTTTTTCTTAATTATTAGTAATGATGGCAATGAATAAATGCTCACTTGTAGCTGGTTAATGTTTAACTGATACTACATCTACAAGGTTTACTACAAACCATTGATCAATCACAGTCCACAGAGCCACAGGCTATTACCTCAGGCCAAAAACTGAAAAAAATGCACCATTACCAAAGAGGCAAATTTCATTAACTGGCTATTTTGCACCGTTATGCATGTGTGCATGTGTTGTGATAAAATGTCCTCTTTATTTGAAGTTTATGTATCAGAAACAGATAATGAGCACTACATTTCTTTGACATTTCTTCCTTTCTTCCTCCACTGTATTTGATATCTGGGTGGGCAGCAGAACACCACCAGGTCATCTTCACCTCAGTGATGGTAATCAGACTTTCATTGTTAGAATTCTGCACTTAGTTTCCTATGAATCAATATTGTGTTCTCTCTGCTGTAGCCACTTCATTCCTCATCTGGATTCCTATTCTATGCTCTGTCTGGGACTTTGAGGATTTCTGTCCTGCCTTCAGTCCCATCAATACCTGTAATCTGTAAAAGGACTTACTGGAGCTGGAACACTCACCTGCTTGCTAGAAGGATCTTGCTGGAAAGGATGTGTAGCAGGTGAGGATGATTAAGTATCGGTATCGAGATGGAACTGTACTAACAAATAAAGATTGTGTGTGGAAAAGTGTAAGGAGTTCTCCGAGGAGTTGATGAACGAAGAATATGAGAGGTAGCGGACAGATGGAAAACAGGTAGTGAATCAGGAAGTTCAGAGGATTAGTGAGGAGGAAGCAAGAACTGCTATGAAGAGTGAAAATGTGGTTGATGCAGATGACATAACTGTCAGTCGGCACACGTTAGCCAAACTCGGTGCTGTACCTCAATCAAATCTTCATAGAACATGTAGTGAAAATCTGAATAAGTTTGCTTCTTCTCCCACCAGCCGTTCACATGGTCATACCACGATCCATAAACCCCTGCAGACACAGAACAACACACAAAGGAACGTTAACATGGGAAATATAATGATATTATTTTTCCTTTACACTGAAACTAAACAGAACTCACTCTTTCCCTCCATGAAGTCCTGCAGAAATGTGCTCCAGTCTCCTGGTTCTGGCAGGGCACTGTTCATGCAGTTAAAGTGGAAATAGGACACTACACTGTCTTTTGCATTGCGGGCCATATAAACCACCTACAGAAAGAGGCAAAACTAAATTATGCTCTGTGGGTTTCATAAATCCCATGTCTCTATTTCTACAGGTTTGCATGATTTTTACCCTGCAGCGCTGCTCCCAGAAGGACTTTGGTACAAACTGGACTGGTAGATGAGTTTTAATGAGACGAGGAGTGGTGGGAAGCTTGTCTGCCAAATCGGTACCTGAGTAAGGTAGAGATAAGAAGGAATCATTTGCAATCAAGCTTGTCTGCCAAGTCTTTCCCTAAATGATAAGAAGGAGTAACTTGTAACTGTTAAAATGCAATGATTGGCTTTTTTATTATAGCATAGATCAACAACATTAATTACTACACATTATACTATACTAAACTACTATACTACCTTATACTACATTATATTATAACTAACTCTGACAAAACGTGTCACAAAATGATGGCATGCAAGCAAAACAGATGTCAGACAAAAAGACTGAACCTATTTCAAACATTTTTGGAATATTTTTCTGTCTGAACAGTTCTAATGATACCTTAATGTACAAGTACACCAAAGTGAAACTAACTTTTGGTTCTGACTTAATACAAATATGGCTAATTGAAGGTGGTCACAAGATTCAACCTAAAGGTTGAGAAGGTACAGAAATCTCCAGGAAGGGCACTCTTTCATGAAGAGGGATGGATGTCTGATGATCTGGATCCATGTTCTCAAAATACAGAAGATCTATGATGTAAGAGATCCATGTGGTTCCTGAGGTTGAAACAGATAGATGCATATTGTTCAGTGGGATACCAAACTATGAAGATATAAACTCCATAACCCAAATTAAGACACTCAACATCATTTTTGTATTTTTCAGGTCAACACTGAACTCGTGGATGCATAGTGTTTAGTGGGAATCCTATGAACTCAGACACCAACATTAAAATTATTTTTTAACAAAAAAAGTTATTTTATAATTAGATAAGCTCCACACTCTTGCACACACCACATCAGTACCTGCTTTAGGGTACGTAGAGATAAGAATATCATCTGGTCTTGCTTTGAAGTTCTGTATGTTGTCCCAGTTGTCAGTGATGACGTTGAGCATGGAGACTCCATGGAAGTCAAACATTTCTGGTCGACGTGGCACCTCCATCTGTAAGACTGATTATTTTAAAAGTCTTTCATGTTTTCTCCAGTCCTAAAAAACGATGAAATTGCAAACTGGATGTTTCATGATGGTTGATGGCTGTGATTCAGTTTGTAGGGATAGATTTTATAGGGACGCCCTCTTTTGGTCACACCTGCTGTCCTGTTGTCAGGGTTTAAGGCAGGTTGACCGGTGGTTCTTTTCCTCACAGGTCTAAAGAATTGATATACATATCATGACATCTGTTGGGGCTCATCTTGTCCTTTTTGTTTGGCATTGCAGTGTTGCTGGTCTGCACACCTAATCAGTCAGACTGTCAGGATGCTGAATTCTCTCCCTGCTCTGTCCCTCTCCACTCTCACACACAGAACTACAGACCTGCATCCACCTCTCCCCTCTTAACCCTGCCCACCTCCCAGACTTATAAAACTCTCAACCTCCACCATCGCCCCTCACTGACTCCCCCACCCCACTTCCACACAAACTCTTGCCCACAAGCACTCTGACTGTGCTGGACACTGTTTTGTATTGTATTGTGTCGTACATAAGACTTATTTTAATCTTTATATTGTTTTAGTGTACACCGAGGGCTGTGGGAGCATTGAAACTTCAAATTCCTGTGTATGACCTGTGCATATGGTTTTTGACAATAAAGCTGACTGTTATGATGTTTTGATACCACGGTAAGCATTTACAGGATATTGTTTTATACAGGAAAACTGTTACTCAATAAGGCCAATCTACTAGTTGTTTTTCTCTTTCTCTGTGACCCAAGAATTAATGTGAGACTCACAAGCTGGTACCTCAAGGTCGAAAACACCACAGAGATGAGACCACTTCTTTACTCCCATCCTCCCTTTTCTTTATCTCCTGGAAAAGGCTCGTTAAAGGCTAGGTGGTTTGTTTCAGAATTCACTGATGAAAGAACTCTGTATTCTATGTCTAGGAGTGTATTTTGCTGGGATGATCATAAATTGTAGCTGAACTGATAAACTACACAGGATACTTCTTTGCTCAGAAGGCAGGAAGACGTTTCCTTATTTGGTCTGTACCGGTTTGAACTGGGAAAGCTGACACACGAACCTTTTTTCATCTATATAAACTGCTGTGTATCAAATAAACCTTTGAGTCGATTGGGAAGGCAACCTAAAGCAGTCTCTGTTTTCTTGTTCTCCCAAGCTGCTCCCGAGCTCGTACTAACACGCTGAATGGCATACCTGAGTGTTACTTTAAATAATTAGGAATCTTAGAAGGAAAGGACAGAACTCTGCTTATCGCTCACGCCACGGAGGAAACCCGGGAAGGCAATTTCCTTCAATCTTGGTGTCAGAAGTGGGATTGCTGACAGAAGGTAAATATGCGTCTTTCATATTTATATAAAGACCTATTATACCTCTCTCAGTGATCGATCCATAAAAAAAACGGGATATGCTGACGAAGTTTCACTTAGTGATCCAGAGAGATACACTGACTGACTTCCTCAGTCCCCGAATAAAGTAAATTAACCCTTGTGTGGTGTTGGTGGACCCGCTAGAGTTGTGGCTTTCCAAATTAACACTATCAAACAATTTTATGTTAAATTACTATGAATTAATGTGCTTCTCGTTTTTCTTTTATATAAAATGTTATAAATAAATCAGTTATAATCAAGTGGAAAGACACAACACATTTATACGTTAAAAAAAAAAATAATAATAATAATAATTAATTGTTTAATTTTTCTTTTAAAAAAACAAAAAAAAACAAAAACAAAAACAAAAAAAAAACACGGGTCTCAAGGGTTAAAAGCAGTAAATTAAAAGCAGAAAGACACAGGGAGTTGCCTGTTGTTTTGCGAGGAGTTGCTCGCTAAGTGAGAGTTGCTCACACAAACAAAAATTGCTAGCAATAAATTTAAAGTGACCTCAGCTGTGCCGCAGCGAAAATACTAACCTAAATCCTCCTAGCGTGTAAACCCCTCTGGAAATCACTGAACATGGGTCAGAATAATTCAAAGACCACAGACAGGTCCGATAAAAAATCTAAAGTACCTGTAAAACCAAAAATTAATAAAATACAAAATAAAGTCTCAAATAACGGCTCAGTATAACTCCCATTTCCGGTTACGTGTAACCTACGTCCGCGAATCGGTGAAGACGTCCATGATCACGTATCCAGAACATGCGGAAGTGCTTATGTGACTGACTTTGTTTACAACTTAAGAAGTTCAATGCATTCTAATTTCTTTTCGGAGCCTTATCCCGAACGATTATCGCCAGAAAACAGGTCAGTAGAAATGTTGAATATCATTTGTGATAAGAAAAGTAGTCTGCTTAAAAAGTCCTGTAGAAAATATCTGATAGAATGCCGCGACGTGATGCATCAAATGTTACCGCTATGGACAAAAGGAGGGTAAATAATGACAAAGTCGCCGATTTCTTTAAGAATCTAAAGAAATTCCTGCTAACAATGTCCAGAGACAAAAGTGACTTAAATGCAGTAACTATGTGTAAACAGAAGCCTGATGAATCTATCCTAGTATTCATAAAACGCTTTATGCACTGTTGGACAAGCTAGAGGTGCAAATTCAGCTCAGTTTTCCAGCAGCCGCAGACACCCAAGGCAAAAATGAATTTGTGTATTTCATTTAACATAAAGGGTGAAATGTTTGCTGACACTGATAACAGCTTATGTTTTCTCTGCCCTATGTACCGACATGATGGAGAAGGAACATCCTCTGTGTCAGCTGGACCCTCAGCAGAGAATGAACTCAACATCCTTTTTGTCCGGTACTCTATGTCACACACTGTGCCAAAAAAAACGTGTACAGACGCCACTAACAGGTAATCCCATGACTGGGAGCCACACTTTTGTTTCTCTCACACTGTTCAACAACATGATAACTGCTCACACAAGTGAAGGTCAAACAGTGATTTTGTCACATAACTCAGACATAGTTTATGACATAACTACACCATGTCGTCACATAGATCTAACCTACCCTATCCACTGTACTATTTCTGCACTTATGTTGCCAGCTGAATACCAGAATATGACATTATGGTCAAAAAGTGAGAATGATATAGGATTTATTGACTGTACACTTTATCACGTACACCTATTAAAACACAACAAGCAGTATATGTCAAGCAGCATCCCCTCTCCACGGAAAAAGCCGCAGCCCTAGATGTCATGATAGGAGATTTATTGACTACAGGAGTAATAAAGCCCACACTCCTGTCAATCCTGTGCCAAAGCCTAACAAACCTGGCGTATGGCGTTTCATACAAGACTTAAGGCAAATTAATGCAGTCAACATTCCTCTGCCACCTCTCGTTTCAGATGTTCACAGCATATTGACATGCATTGCATACACATTTTACCGTGGTGGATTTATGCTCCACTCCTTTTTCTCAGTACCTGTGACACACAGCCGTTATTTGCATTCACACATAGAAATAAGCAGTACACTTGGACTCGTTTGCCCCAAGGCATGATAGACAGCTCTGCTGCTTTCTCAATGGTGCTTCACTCCTCCAGGGCTGCACCCTGATCCACATGTGGATGACCTCCTCCTCTGTGCTGAAAGTGAAAAACTATGTCAAACTGCTACACACATGCTTCTCCAGCACCTCCAAAAGACTGGCCACAAAGCATATGCAAAGAAAATGCAGTACTGTCAGACTTCTGTTCAATATTTGGGATTCACACTGTCTCACGGAAAACGTTCCATGACTGCAGACAGGGTCAAAGCTGTGACCTCCGTCCCTCGTCCCACTACACAGAAGGAAATGTTGTCCTTCCTGAGCATGGTGAACTATTGCAGACAGTGGATACCAGACTGTTCTTTTCATGACCACATTCTGCGTGACTGTTGTAAAAAAAAAAAGACAAGCCTCCTCGAATACTGTGGTCCACAGAAATGACTGCCTCTTTCAATGCATTACAGGGAGTGCTGACCTCCGCCACTCAAAGGTGCTGCCTGAATTGTTCAGGAATGCCGGCCTGCCTGAGGGCAGTAGCAGCTTGCTCTATCATGATAAGGGACTGCGGGAAGCTCACACTCTCACATGACACTATTCTACACACCAATCACCAGGTCACGACCATTGTAGCAAACATAACTAAACAACATATGCAAATCTCACTATAAAAGCGAGCAGCACACCTGATTCGCCAGCACATTTATTGATCCTATGCTGTGTTCTTGTGACCGACAGGATGGCTCAGACAGGCTTGATGTTCATGACTGCATGACACGTATACAGGAATCCACAGCACCACGTCCAGATTTAGAGCAAACACCTATCTCAGACTCAGCCACGGTTTATGTGGACGGGTCCTGTTCAAGGCCGAATGACAACTCATTTCTTTGTGGCTATTCAGTGGTAACAGTGCCTGACATCATACTAGAGGCTCACTCATTACCATTTCACTCAGCACAAAAAGCAGAGCTCATGGCTTTAATACGCGCCTGTGAGCTACATTTGGATAAGCATGTGACGATTTACACAGACAGCCGCTATGCATTTGGCGTTGTGCATGACTTTGGCACATTGTGGAGACAGAGAGGATTTAGATCTGCTGATGGAAAATAAATTGCTAAATTGTGATTTTGTTCAAAGACTTTTTCAGGCTATACAGCTACCATCGGCCGTTGCAGTTGTAAAAACGAAAGGACACAGTACAGCTGACACAGACGAAGCAACAGGTAATGCCTTAGCAGACGTGACAGCCAAGGCTGCAGCTGCATCACAGCTCCCACCTCCACAGGAAGTATTATCTGTGCCCCTACAGCTGCCACTTGTTACACTCCCAGACTATTTAGAAAGAAATGTTGATTTAAAATTCATACAAAAGCAAGCCTCTGCATAGAATAATGACTGTACCTTAGATGACAGAGATGGCTTATACAAAATCTTAAGGCTTTGATTGCCCTCCCATATTCCCTGATGCCAGTCCTTGCCCGACATTTTCACTGTGTGAGTCATGTCGGACAAAGAGGGGTAATAGGGGCAATAAAATCAAGATTTGTAATTGAGAAAACATCACATGCAGTAAAAAGCATATTAGCAACCTGTCTAACATGTGCGCGAACTAATGTAGGAAAATCAAAAGCGAAACATCAGCATTTACCACAACCAGATTTTCCATTTCATACATTACAAATTGATTTTACACATATGCCAGCGCAAGGAAGTATCAAGTACTTACTGGTAATAGTGGATCAATTTAGTAAATGAGTAGAAGCTTATCCAACATCAAAAGAAACTGCAGAAGTAGTCTGTCAAAAGTTGAGCAATGAAATAATACCCAGATTCGGAATACCTCACCAGATTAACAGTGATAGAGGATCTTCATTCACATTAGAAGTATTCAAAAGTGTGCTAAAACTTTAATGACCTGGGTCAAATTACTTCCTCAAGTCCTCTGTGAGATTGGAATGACTCAGTCTGCAGTAACCAAATTATCTCCATTTGAAATAAGACTATTTCCAACACCATGGTCAGCTTCCAGAGGGGCACCGCTAGTAGAAGGTGATGTATATTGCATTGTCCACTGATGTTCACAACCTGGTAGAAAAACTGAATAATAACTATCAGAAAGTTTGTCTCTCTCAGCTTTTCCCCTCCACAGTTCCACCAGTGGAGACAAGGAGACGCATGTTGGAGAAGCCACTAAAACCAAGGACACTCTGGGAGGCCGCGTGTTCCAGCCCCCAGGCTTTACTGGCAGTGACGAAGAACCAGCATCCTCACAGACGGACAACCTCAGTGGATTCATGCCAGCAGGGTTAAGACCAGCCCAATCGGACCATCTCAGGCGTCGGATCAAGCAGACGACATCTCCGGCGAGCCAGCGCCCGGAACTAGAGCAAATAAACACACACGGGTAGATGACATCTCAGGCGAGCCAGCGCCCGGATCCAAAAGTTACATACACACAATCACTGATTAACACACAACGTCTGAAAGAACAACAACAAGGTACTCAAACATCCAGCAGGAACAGAAAGCCAAAAGTACCACATGATGTCTAACCTGATAAAGCCAGACTCATTTCATCCTGATAATGGAGAAAATGAAATGCCCATTGTCATCATACGACGCTTATTCAATGTCTCTCGAACCTGGGACCAGGCCAGGAGACAACTGAAGAACTGTTTTTCTTATATACTTTCTTATATATTTAGGTTATTTATCATATCTATCGCATTAACCTTAGGATTTCTCTTTGCTATTTTGTATTGTAAACTGCAACCATGTTCACATTTCTGCAGGTCATATTTTGCTGACTATACCTCATGCTCCATTTTGCAAGACACCTACTTAATGCACTCCTCACGTTCCCTAAAATCAGTAAATAGCAACATAGACGCCACTAATAAACCATTTTATGCACCCTCTAGAACAGGAGCTAACGCCTGGTATGAAAATGCCAGAACAGCCGCTCGTGATTTAGGAAACAGTAACTGTTATGTCTGTTCAAAGGCTAATCCAGAACAGGTAATAGTAGGATACCCCATATCCGGTTTCCCCCTCACTGAGGGACTAGAGAAAATCAGCGGAAATAATGCTCTCTTTAAAGACGCTTTACAGTTGACTCTGAGCCCTCTCGACTGCTTACTTAGACACACACACACACACCAACTAACCCTGAGACTCCATTAGGCGAATTATTGAAGTTATCTAATGACACCGCAGGGACCTGCGCCCCAATGAAACGCCCCAAGAATAGGTTAAAACCCTCACTGCCCTTAGGACAGATCCCTCTCCATTTTAATACTAGTATGATATGTCTGCGCAGACTAAAGTTAACTGGCCCAGACACACACATAGATTATACAAAGGATAACTACACATTTTTCTCTGACTCCCCAGGTGCACGCTGTAATGAGACATGGCTAGCTGTCTCTGTGGCTGAAGTTGTATCATATCTGGAGGAACACACACACAGTTCAAGTTCGAGCAGAGACTCGATCATTGTTCCCCCAGAGGGTGTCTTAAATGATACTGACTGGGGGGAGTTAGTTAAATCACACATGGTCACGCGCCTGACCAGACCAATCCCACGTGCTTATTGGTTGTGCAATAATACTCTTAGATTAGCTTTACCTGTTAATTGGACCGGTACCTGTGGTCTAGTAACCGTTGATGTATGCTGTACTTTCATTCCCAATAATACCGCCCCTAACGGTTCATTCACACAAGCTATGAATAAACTTGAAGCATTGCAGATAGAACTAATTGCCAATACAGGTCACGGTCAGTGGCTACATAAGTGGCTACAGGACACGTTTGGGAGATGGAAGAAACTAATTGTAGCCTTTGTAACCGTTGCAGCATGTTTTTGATGATTATTGTCTGTTGTGTGGTACCCTGTGTACGTTCAATGATAACCCGTATAGCTACTGGTACAGCTACTTCAATGTATTTGCAATTGGCACAAATTGACCCAGATTATGTGTCAGATGTCATCAATGATGATCCTGATGTATGTATTGAGCATTAGATTGTGAATTACTCGATTGTCAAAGAAGAGAATGACGTTTTCTTCTTTTTCTTTTCTTCTTTTTAAGATTTTGATATTAAGCTCACTCGAAGGACTAGTTACATTTATGATTTGTTTCACGTTTATGATTTGTTTCACGTTTATGATTTATCTTTATATTATGTTATTACATTCTGTCTTTATACTATGTTATCATTACATGATAAAAGGGGAGAACTGTTATGATGTTTTGATACCACGGTAAGCATTTACAGGATATTGTTTTATACAGGAAAACTGTTACTCAATAAGGCCAATCTACTAGTTGTTTTTCTCTTTCTCTGTGACCCAAGAATTAATGTGAGACTCACAAGCTGGTACCTCAAGGTCGAAAACACCACAGAGATGAGACCACTTCTTTACTCCCATCCTCCCTTTTCTTTATCTCCTGGAAAAGGCTCGTTAAAGGCTAGGTGGTTTGTTTCAGAATTCACTGATGAAAGAACTCTGTATTCTATGTCTAGGAGTGTATTTTGCTGGGATGATCATAAATTGTAGCTGAACTGATAAACTACACAGGATACTTCTTTGCTCAGAAGGCAGGAAGACGTTTCCTTATTTGGTCTGTACCGGTTTGAACTGGGAAAGCTGACACACGAACCTTTTTTCATCTATATAAACTGCTGTGTATCAAATAAACCTTTGAGTCGATTGGGAAGGCAACCTAAAGCAGTCTCTGTTTTCTTGTTCTCCCAAGCTGCTCCCGAGCTCGTACTAACACGCTGAATGGCATACCTGAGTGTTACTTTAAATAATTAGGAATCTTAGAAGGAAAGGACAGAACTCTGCTTATCGCTCACGCCACGGAGGAAACCCGGGAAGGCAATTTCCTTCACTTACTTTGATGTAAATTTTAGAAATGTAGTTCAAAGTTCATTTGAATTGCTTCATTCAAGTAAGTGCAAAAACAGTCAGCTGCCAGTACGAAAAGGACGACTAATTACGACATGTGCACTGCAGCATTGGTAGAATCTGTAAACACCAAAATTACAACATTTCACCTCCATCACTCTGATTCAGACACACAGTAACATTTACTGAATGTATTTTAAACAGAACATGTTTAATTCCTTTACAAATGTTTGTAAAGTAAAAACACATTAGATTGTTGGTAACACAAGATTATGAAGCTTACTTACCTTCTAGGATCACTCCTACCAACTGACATACATGATTTTAATCTTACAGAGAATGTGATGATTTTATGGATAATTAAAGTCAGTCATATATCCACAAACACAAGCTGAAAGTCAGTGATGCTGCTCGGTTTGCAGTCCTGAATATCACGGCACAAGCAGGATTCACTGGACTGTTAATGTTAGCTATGTTATATTGCTGCCTCTGTTCGGTGATGTCGAGCCAAACGGACTTTAACGTGTGTTTGAACGAGCTGACGGTTCACTCATTAAGCTGAAAGAAAGATAATCACAGGAGTCACACATGTGCCCACTGTACCATCTGGGAACTCTTGTTTAGCACTCTAATAACACAAACACTAAATCCTCCTGTTTGTAGCAGTGTATACACCTGAGACTGTCACCTGTCTGTCTGTCCTGCACTCTCTCTCCTTTTCTTTCTCTCTGATTGTGTAATAAAAGGACGAACATGTGTTTATAAGTCACACTTGAGTTTGAATCCTGCAGCTTATCACACATTTGATTTCCATGTGTGACAACTGCAAGTGTCCAGAGTGAGGACAGTGAGGACCCACTGCTGCACATCATCTGTGAGGCTTTGCACCCCTGATGATCCACCAGGACAAACTCAGCAGTGTGTGAGGAAGAGGAGGAGGAAGAGCCAGCAGCAGCTGACAGATGGAGAGAATAGACAGACTGTTCCCTGTTTGTGAAGGACTGCTAGAAAAGTTTAAAATAACTAATTGTCTGTCCTGAATCAGTCTTATTAGGTGATGTTAAAATAATTTTATAATTCCAGTGTTTTCAGTGTGGGAGTAAGTACTCAGGGCCTTCAAGTTACACACTATGAAAGGCAGCAACAAGTTTAATATTCAGAAACCTAAAGTATGTATCAGCAGCAGAATGGAGCTAAAAATAAATGCCCCTGTTTGTTTCAGTTCTATGAAGCTTTGAGTATTTTGGATTAGTAGCACTGCTGTGTTTGTTGCATCATATTGCTGTAATTGTTTATGTGCTTTATATATTCTGAGGTAAGTTGATCTATAGTGTTACATTATATTCTATAAGGATGTTATGTGTTTGTATACTTTCTGCCCAGTTTGACCCATTTAGCAGAAGCCAGCCTGTTTAAGGCTCTGATATCTATTCTGTATGACTTAAAGCAGTTATGACATGGTCTGATTTTCTCACCCAATAAAGGAATATTTAATATATCAGTCTACTCTTCATTTTATCAGAAACAGTTATCACAGCTTGTACATTTTCTTTTTATAAATGTATGTAAGCAATGAGCCAAATTTAGTAATGCCAACATACTGAAGGAACAACATTTGTCTCCTATATATGATACACCTATATATGCACTGTCAAAGATACTTGTCTTTGAGTGAAGATTTAAGGTGATAAGACATAAATAACTGCAACTTGAATCTGTACTGAGGCTCAGTATTTGACACAGAGTTCATGTTCACTGCTGTAATAGCTAATAATGATTAATATAATAACTATAATATTGGCCATATTATATTTACATTACCAAAGTGATATGACTTTAGTCTCATGAACAACATTAGCTAATTCTTATTTACTAACTAATCTTAAATGACTGTTCAGTACAGAAATGAAGCCCAAAAATCATGTTTTACTGTCCTGTGGTCTCAGCCTCAGATACTTATCAAATCACACAAAGCTCTTGTAGAAACAAACAAACAAATGAACAAAATATGTTCTCCTTCATTTCTGTCAAACAAAGTTGTATGACACGTTTCCAGCAGTTAGTATCATGGTTGCTAGGCAACCTGGGAAGCGCGACGGAGACTAGACCGTCCCATTTCACAAGCCTCTCACTTCCGCACGTCTCGTACTTATAGTACGCACCGTACGTAGTGCGCGTACTTCAAGCGTGCAGACCCTGCCACAGCCTGAGAACCGTCACAGACAACGGGGGCGGGGCTTAAGCTCGGACAGATCAAAGGCCTTTGCAACGTCACAACAAAGGTGCTTCGAAGGAGCTCCCAAATAGCATAAATAGAGCCTTGGCGACACTCTACACCAGTGCACTCCAAAGTTGGTCCGTCTAAAGTATCGCTGAGTCTAAAATACTGCTGAAAGTCAACCGTTATTAAATATGTCTCACGTTTATGGTAGAGCTAACGATCACGTTTCCCGTGCAAAGGTTTGCACAACTGAAGAATTGCGGGCTGAAAAAGAAGCCACAAAAAAGGAGAAAAAATGCGTCAGGTTTGCAACGCTCCCATCACTCCACAACGGCTGGAGCACACAATCCGACCAACGACAGAGAGAGTGCGGGACGTACAAAGGGTAAGTCGGGAGTGGGGTGAGGCTGGCAGTAGTGATCGGGTTGGTTTCTTCCGTTGTCAGCAACGGAGCAGCTCAGAACAAACAGCACCTAAAACGGAATGCCTGTTTGTTAATAAATCAAATAGGGTTGTGTCTGTAGCTAAAGACTCACCAGCTAAGAATTTAATCCCACCCCTGCCTCCTCTTCCTATTAAACCGCAGAAAACACAGCGTGCCCCTATTATTAAAAAGCAACACGAGGTTGTTGCACCTTATGCACCACGCATATTAGAGACGTGGGACATAAACACAAATAAAAATGTACTTCCACCCCTACCTCCTCTTCCTATTAAACCGCAGAAAACACAGCGTGCCCCTATTATTAAAAAGCAACACGAGGTTGTTGCACCTTATGCACCACGCATGTTAGAGACGTGGGACATAAACACAAATAAAAATGTACTTCCACCCCTACCTCCTCTTCCTATTAAACCGCAGAAAACACAGCGTGCCCCCATTATTAAAAAGCAACACGAGGTTGTTGCACCTTATGCACCACGCATGTTAGAGACGTGGGACATAAACACAAATAAAAATGTACTTCCACCCCTACCTCCTCTTCCTATTAAACCGCAGAAAACACAGCGTGCCCCTATTATTAAAAAGCAACACGAGGTTGTTGCACCTTATGCACCACGCATGTTAGAGACGTGGGACATAAACACAAATAAAAATTTACTTCCACCCCTACCTCCTCTTCCTACTAAACCGCAGAAAACACAGCGTGCCCCCATTATTAAAAAGCAACACGAGGTTGTTGCACCTTATGCACCACGCATGTTAGAGACGTGGGACATAAACACAAATAAAAATGTACTTCCACCCCTACCTCCTCTTCCTATTAAACCGCAGAAAACACAGCGTGCCCCTATTATTAAAAAGCAACACGAGGTTGTTGCACCTTATGCACCACGCATATTAGAGACGTGGGACATAAACACAAATAAAAATGTACTTCCACCCCTACCTCCTCTTCCTATTAAACCGCAGAAAACACAGCGTGCCCCCATTATTAAAAAGCAACACGAGGTTGTTGCACCTTATGCACCACGCATGTTAGAGACGTGGAAATATTAACAGCAGTAAAATATAAATAACACCCCCCCCCCCCCCCCCCCCAACCGGTTGCAGCAGATAGCCGCCCCTCCCTGAGCCTGGATCTGCTGGAGGTTTCTTCCTGTTCAAAGGGAGTTTTTCCTTCCCACTGTCGCCATGTGCTTGCTCATAGGGGGTCATTTGATTGTTGGGTTTTTTTTTTTCACAACAACAGTTGTGAAAATATTCACAACTGTTGTTGTGAAAATATAACTGTTGTTGTGAAAATATTCACAACAACAGTTATATTGCAAAGTCTTCACCATCCATCAGCCATTACAATACAAATAATAAAAATCTTGAAATACATAAAAATGTTGATGTTTGATTTTGTTTACTTTAGTTTTGTTTACTACTACGTGTCTGATAGTGATTGTCTGAGTAGATAAAACAGTGGTCCTGTACCACCAACATCATTATGGAGATGTGTGAAAATGACTGGGAGACAGACTGGAGGACTACTGTGAAATCAGAAAAAGCAGAGTGGGGAGGTACTTCCTGTACATTGCTTCTCCAGCTGTGTAAATTACATTTTTCTCAGCAGCAACAGCTTTGGGGTTAGGAGAATACCAGGACCAGTTAGTGCACAATTACCAATTCATCAGCTGCATAACAGCAGCTGGAGCCTCACAGCTGGAGCGCACTGTACTGAGTGAAACATTTTCACACTTCGGCGGCTCCGCTCTTTGTGTTTGTCTTTTTTGCGCTAGATTCTGAAGCTGCAGGTTTGATCTATCTTCAAACAACATTGACTGAACCAGCAGCAAAAGAAGATCCAAACTAGCTTCACGTTTCGCTTCACATAAACATTAAATAAACACCTTAAATTCCCTCTTACTTTTGCTGTTTTAACTCCACCACGATAAAAATCACACGTCATGCAGAGCTCTCCGTCTCTCTCTCTCAGGAATAGATTCCCATAAAAAAAGTCTGTTTTCTGCGTTATTCGCTTGCTTATTACCCACCAGGCTACCGTTGTTTACAGCGCTGTCTGCCACTGGTTTTTGTTTTTTAAATTTCCAACACGTAAGCCTAATTTCTTCACTTCAGTACTGAACAAATGTATCTACTGCAGAATATTTTTAAGGTTATCTGCTATAAAATCCCAGGCCAGGAAAATCTCCTTCATGTTTTTCTGTTTTATCCTCAGTTACTTTGACACAAAGGCATCTGCTGAGATGCTTACACCTTTGATCAAGTCTCACAAGTGTCAGCTTTGTTTTTATAGATGTAAAAACAAGGATATGTACTGATAAGTGATCAGAAATACAATATTTCTGACTGTATGGGGCAAAATTTCCCTGATTCAAATATAATCACCGAAATTCAAAAATTGCAGTTTAATTTTCGCAAATGGCGCTCAATGACTCATTAACTGACGCTACTTATCAGCCAATCGTGGCATGTAGTCTGACGACGTCACAGTGTAGTACCTGATCAGAATGCTTGGAATCCCGGGCTGTGAACTACTATGACCTAATGGAGAACCCAGAAAAGCATTCAGGATTTTCAGACGGAGCAGAATCATGGTTCCATCAATTGTTTGATGTTCATTTTATGAAATACTGTGTTAGCTTTA